CAGCTCATTTGTGTTTCAAATTCATATGTTGAAAGTCTGAAGTCCAAATACCTCAGAATGTAACCAGTGTGCACAGAAGGGCTTTAAAAGGGAGTGACAGTCAAAAGAGGTCATCATAAAAGATCCTTGATCAAGCATGACTTTTGGTAAGAGAACATCAGGGCAGAGTTGTGAAGAGAAAACATGAGAAGCCAAGGTAACTGAATGGAAACATGAGACTCCTAGGATGTAAGCGAGCTTACAAGGCACAGAAACTCCCGAAATTTACAAGCTTCAGGAGGCCCCTCCTCAGACTTGTAAGTCATAATAATTGCTGGGAACAGGAGACTCTCCAGCTGGACAAGCTGGCTGAAAGTCGACCAAGCTTTAGGAATGCATCTTCCATGGGTCATCACCTGTGCTCCTGTAAGTAACCCAGCAGACTCAGTTCTCCAAGCTGACTTTGGGTAGAATCATGCTTTGTTCTCTTGTCAATATTCTTTCTGGGTGTGGGGTCAGACATTTGTTTACATCTCCCAGAAAAAGTCACAGTATCATGAAAACCAGTCCTGTCCAACCTCAGGAACTTTCTGTTGTCTGCACCACTCAGGCTGTAGGACTTTGCTACAGCTGCCCAAGCAAATGGTCATGATTTTCAGCTCCAAAGAGACCATCAATAAGACCCATCTTTATAGGTGGAAGACGTGAGGAGACACAAATGCCAGGGGCTGGCTTAAACATATGGAGTTCTAGCATGGATGGGTATGTCTTACTCCAATGCCATTCCCCCTTTTAGTTTCATTTCTTTTTAAGACAGGGTCTTACTATGTAGACCCAGGCTGGCCTCAAACTCATGAAGATCTGATGGGATTAAATGCATGTACCACCATACCTGGCCAGTTTCTTTCTTTATTTCTTTCTTTATTTCTTTCCCTTTGTGCAACACTGATTAGCTTCTTGATGACTTTGTCCCATTGTATAATAGCTTTCTTCCTTCCTTCCTTCCTTCCTTCCTTCCTTCCTTCCTTCCTTCCTTCCTTCCTTTCTTTCTTTCTTTCTTTTTCTTCAAATAGAATGTAAGTGCCTCCTTGTTCAGAATTTCATCTTGGAGGCTATTGGCTGGTATGCATGTGGGTCTACAAAATTCCTATCCAAATCTGCCTCCCCAGCCCAGAGGCACAGTGCTACAAGGGGACCTGAGCCAGCCTGACTGGCCAGCAGTTCTGAGACCTGTGGGCAGCCTCAGTGAGGAAAGAAAGTGGGTCTGTGTTATCCACACTGTCAGCTCCAGACAAGACAGATTTTAAATCCCCCTACGTCCTTCCTCTGCCAAACAGACTGCATTTACAAGCAGTCCCTGTGGACATTGTGTAAAACCTGTGCCCCTGGCTCAAGAGAAGCCCATTTGGTCCTCGGGCCCCTGACAGCCTACCGAATGAGGCCACATGCAAAATTAGAGTGGCAAACCTCTAATGGGCCAGGTTTCAAGGTCCTCTGTGAGGTCACAGGTCTGCATAGAGCCCAGCATAAAGGAACCCTAGGCTCCTGGGAAGCCATTACACAGGAGGGTTAATCTCTTCCCTGCACAGACTCTGCATTCTCGTTTCCTGATACCACCTCCTCCTCCCCACCCAGCAGGCCTAGAACTGCCTCCAAGTGCTATGACCACACGCATGTACCACATTCCATCTGCCTTTTTGATCAGGCATTTGGAGAGCAGCCTGTGTCACCTACCCTCTACCACCCTAGCTCCAAGGATCACATACCCTAGGGACCACCTCGAACCCCAGAGCCCACTGAAATCACTCACACACTCCATCCCTACACTTGCTTGGTGTTCCTATCCCACCCCCATTCTTCCTTCAAGTCAGGAACTGGCTGAGCCTGTTGAGGGCTAGGGTGGTCTAGGGCTTTTCCTGAGGCCCTGAGGTATGGAGAAGGAACTAAAACCAGGTATATGCTTGGTAAGGCAAGTAATGGCCTGGGGATGGAGCCCTTGGGGGAACTGCAGCTTTGGATCCTGAGAACCCTTCTCTTCCCATCCTAAGGTGCTATGGTCATCAGTCCCAAGGCTCCTGTGTGCGTGGTCTCCATGCTCTTGAGGTATCCTGTGTTCCCTTTGTGCAACACTGATTAGCTTCTTGATGACTTTGTCCCATTGTATAATAGCTTTTGCTGGTACATTTTTCTCTTTCGGGAAAACTGTAAGATGCTGTATTTCTTAATAAACTTGCTTGCATGAGCCATCAGCTTGTGTAAGACCTCATGATCCCAAACTTTCCTATCTTCTCATCCCCTGGCCACCTCTCCTCTCGCTCAAGAACCTGCCACTGAGGAATGGCCTACTGGTCCAGATCATAGCTCTCTTCCCTGGTCTTTTGCTTCCTCAAGGTCCTTTTGGACCTGTGTGGGTGATGTGTCTCCTGAATCTAGAAACTTGCTTCTTCATACAGCCATTTGATTTGCTATCTTACTGTACCCAAATAAAGTTGATCCTAGCTATATTCTTAGTGCATTCTCTGAAGCAGAGTCCTTCAGAGAGGAGGTTATTTTAGGCCTGGTGCAACCAAATACCATGTCTATTACCATGCTGTCAAAGGGATCTCCTATCGGTGGGGCTTATGAGAGGCCCAGTGATCCAGAGCTGGAGGAAGAGAGGAAGTAAGCCATTTTTCTGAAAGGTCTAAGTGGAGTTGAGGAGCATGGTGTACTGAAGGGTATTCCCCCACAGAGGTATGGGTATATCCTGATCCCTGGATACCATGACTGTGTTCTTTAGAAAAGGGGTAACCGAGAGATGAGAGCCAGAGAGATGAATCCATGGCAAATGGCTCTTCCAACCAAGCTTTATGTCCTGAGTTCCACCCACAGGACCACTGGTGGAAGAAGAGAAGTGACTCATGTTGTCCCTTCACACACACACACACACACACTATAAAAATATTGTTTAAAAGGTGATATATGATCATTCTTCTCTACAGGTAGGTCCTAACCTCCATGGTAAGGAAAAATACAGAAAGGGTCACATGATTGATATGGAGGCTGCAGTGGGAAACACAAGGTCACCTGGAGCAGCCAGCAGCTGAAGACACAAGCATCCTCACCCTCCTTCACGGAGACCACAGCCACAGACAGCTTGATTTTGAACATGGACCCTCAAATAGTGTAAGGATAAACCCCTCTTATTTCCAACCAAACTGATGAAGTGTTCACTTGTTGTAGCAGCCACAAGAAAACCAGTGGGGACCAGAAGACAGCCAGGCATGGCAGCCGTTCCATTCTGCTGACGGCGTGTTCCCCATCACAAACTATTGACTGAAATTCAGCTTCTTGCTTGCTAACTCCAGGTTTGTCATTTTCTGTTGCTTTAACAAACTATCCCAAGCTAATCATTTACTGGAGAGCAGGTTTGCCTGCCTTCTGGTTCAGGACAGTGGTGTCTGGCAGGGGTCACCTTGGCTGTGTCACAGAATGGTGAAGCAGAAGAGAAGCACATGTTTCAGTTTCATGGCATTTCATGGCAACTGGCTCAGCACACCTGCCATCCCAACACCCGGGTAATTGATACAAAATGATCTTAAGTGTGTGGCCAACTTTTGCTATAATGTACCTAGACTCTCTGATAAAACCTGTACAAGAAATGACAATTACAGTAACCCCAGTATTCCAAGGACTACCTCTATGAAGCCAATGGTTAGTTCTCTCAACTTGACATGACCTGAGAATCATCTCCTCAAGGGATGATCTAGTGTGTGTGTTGGGGTGGGGGGTTTGTCTTGTTTATATTAACTGATGTGAGAAAAACCCAACCCAAAGGTGGATGAAACCATTCCCTGGTCTTGGGTGTGGACTATATAAAAAAGGAGAGAAGGAGCTTATAAGCACACATACATTCATTCCTTCTCTGTGGATATCACTAGCTGCTTCAGATTCCTGTCACCTTCATGTGCTCCCTCTTGAATATGCCACCAGCTCCAGCACCTGAGCCTTCCTGAAAACCACACACTTGAACCACCTAGAAAGCAGAACAAAGCTGTGTTCTTAAAAAACAAACTTTGAAAATGAACTTGCCAGGTCTGGTGAGATGCACATCGGAGGCAGATGCAGGAGGATGAAAGTTAAGTTCCAGGCCATCCAGAGATGCAAAGAAAGATCCTGTGTCAAAAATACAACAGCTCTCAGGCCCTACTGGCTTGAAAACAAAAACTCACTGCCTTACACTGGTTTCCATCAGGGTCATCCGTTTCCGCCTCTGGATTCCCACCCTGGAGATGGCTTTGAGCTGGGTACTGCACTTCTGTCCCCCAGGGCTTAGCTTTCCTGTGGCCATGGCTCATTCTCAGCATGAACAAATGGGCCTTGGAAGTGACACTCTGAGGGACCTGGCCCTGTGGCCTTCTCTCTGGAACACAAATAGTCCGGTCTTAAGTCTCAGAGATGTTTTCCAAAATTGATGTTAGTGTAGGGCCTCCTGACTGAAAATGCTGAGGTGTAGAGATGCCTGACCAAGCCTGTCAAGCCTGTGGCCATCCTCCAGGGCAGGGGTTGGTAGCCATAGTGGTCGTTCAGCATTCTACCTTTCTTTCTTTCATCTCTTTCACTCTACCCTAGCTCCATTCTCTTATTTTCTGAGCCAGCTCTTGGTATGTTATAGTTGTTTTTTTTTTTTTTTTTTTTTTTTTTTTTTTTTTTTTTAATATACACGTTTCATCCAGATTACAAAATTTTGTCCAGCTGTGAATGTTCTTGTCACAGAGGGCCCAACTTCCAGGGGAGTCTCAGCCCTGGGGAGCCAAGTGTCTCTGCATTGTTATTATCCATGGGAAGAGGGCTAAGCACTTAAAGCTTCCCACCCCACTTCTTTCCCTGCTCTCTCCAGATCAGTTTACCTAAAGTGATTGCCATGCCACCATTACCACCCTTCCAAGACCAAGTGAGAAGCCGTGACCAGGTGGCTGTGTGAGCACCTGTCATGCTGCATTTCTGCTGAGAAAAACTCACAAGTCACATGGAAGTGCTTAAGACAGGCTGTATTTGGCACCAAGGTTTTCAAAAGCACTACTTTGACATTAAATGTGTTCCTCTTTGTATTAACGCTCTACCCTTCAGGGCTTTCCCTTCAAGGCTTCCTACATTGGCCTTCTTATAACGCAGAAGTCCGAAAGTCCAATCATGCCATTCTTCCTAGCATCTCTGGATGGGAAACAGAGAAAGACACTGTTGGAAACAAAATTTACTTTTTATAGGTTGCCATTTAACTAACAAGGTTACCTCAAACACTGTGCGCATATGATGTTTTACCACAGACCCCAATGAGTGCCAGATCTGAGCAGAACAGCTTATTTTCTTGTGCAGCAATGGATGTTTCTTTCTTGGTAAAATATCCCTGTTGCTCCTTTAATTTTAGCACTCAGGAGAAAGAGGCAGGCAGATCTCTGAGTGCCAGGCAGCCTGGTCTACAGAGAGTTCCTGGACAGCAAGAGCTACACAGAGAAACCTTGTCTCGGAAAAACAAAAAACGAAAGCAAAGAGTGAAAAGCATCCATGCTGAGAAACCACTCTTACCTGAGGAAGTGAGCACACCCACCAGGGTTCTCACAACAGCAACGACCACTGTACCCTTCCCATGCCCCCCATTCACTCTAGCCACAGTGTTCCTTGTTGCCCAGTCCAGCCCAACTCTCTCTCTTCTACATCGGACAGAGGGACACAGGGCTGCAGAGCCCACATGGCTCTCTGTGCCTCAACAACCAAGACAGGTCACGTGCAGCATCACTATCCATGGAGGACTAGACATCAAGGGGGCATCACATGTCAGAGCCAAGTAGGCAGCGAGTGACTGACAGATGTGTTGTGTGGTGTAGAAATACATTCCTAGTAGGCAGAAATATAAGCAACAGCTCCCTCTATACAAAAGAAATCTGATTACCAAGTTGACGAGGGAGGAGCAGGAGAGGCAGGGCAGCCCAGGCAGCTGGCCTCAGCAGGGCGCTCACCACATGCTATGCTGCCCAGTGTGGATGCAGTCAAAGGGTGCCAGCTGGAAGATGGTAAGTAAGCCCCAGGCGTGAGCTTACTTGGGCAGCCAGGTCCATTAAGTCTTCCTCAAACCATTCACGTTGGGAGACCTACTAGGACAAGCTGGGATGTCCTACTTGGTTCCCTGATCATCAGCCACTCCCCTTACAGTACCAGCCTCTCCCACTCATGTACTGTGCCTACCTCCTCATCCTTGCCCTGCAGCCAGCCACAGGCTTATACTCATCTCCTAGTCACCACCATAGTCTGGCTTCTGTCAACACTCTCCCCAGCTGCCATATTTGGCTTTGCTGTCAAGGCCCCTCTCCTTCGTGTCATGGACTCACACCCCCTGGGGGAATCCTGAGGGTGTTAGGAATGACCTAACCTAAAGAACTGCTATAGAGGAGCTTCCCATATAGCAGCCATAGTCCTCCCACACCTAGATGCCAGTGCTGCCATATCCATAGAGCACAGGAGTGGAACCATCTCAGATGTGGGCATCTCAGGCCAGCTACTCTAGAGAGGAGACACCAGCCCAAGGCTGGACCTTCGCTTACTCTTTACGTTCTATCAGTGCCAACAGCATGAAGACACAGTGTAGGGATGTCGTGTGCCAGTCCCTCAAATCAAGAAGTATGTGGGTAACACAGCATCCATGGGCTTCAGTCAGGCTGCCCACTGGTGGCAGTTAACCTCTGTTTCATGTGTTGGTGAGGTTGATTCTATCTATGTCACTTTTTAACAAGCCATTGTTTAAAACTCTCTGGCAATGCATGTTAGACTTGAGCTCTTCCTGTGACCGGGACACATTTTCTCCAGCTAAAGTCAAGGAAGATGGAATCTGTGCCCCATCATGGCTGGCACTGAAAGGACGGGCAGAAGGGCTGCGGCTCTTTTGCAGATATTCTCTGACAGGCAGGCAGCTCCCCCTGCGCCACTGTTGGAATCAAGGCAAGCACCTTTGCCTTCCACCAGGAACAAGTTCTCAGCAAAGAGGTGGATGATGGAGAGTCTCCAACTGTCAAGACATCGGAAACCCAGAGTGCTGTACTTACGACTTCTCTCTTAGAGTGGCAAGATAGGCCTGTGTATCTGCGACTGGGATTCCAGGGTCCAGTGAGGACAAGTACTGGTAGATGAAGACAAAAGTTTCAAACGCAATCCGAGCAGGCCCACCCTCAGGGTCAGCAGTGAGGATCTCACAGGCGTTCTTCATGGCACTATTGAGTGACTAGACAGGCAATGGGACAAGAATGGGACACAGTCAGCCTTGGAGTCACACCAGAAATAGCACATGTGCTCTGGAGACACTCTTCAGAGTGTGTTCTCCACCTCAGTGATGATCCAGGTAGATGCATAGCTTCCAAAATATAAAGCAAGAAGGAAGCTCTGACCAGGGTGTGGCAGACTAAACACAGTGAGTTCACAGATTGTACACTGAAATGGTAATGAGTTCATAGGCAAGAGAAGCTTATCACCTTTGAACATCAACTTCCTCCATGTGGTCCTGTGTTTGGAGTCAAGGGCCATATAATCATGAACTTTTTACAAGTGCAGCCCCTCCAGGTCCAGAAACATCCTCTGCGCCATGCCAAGGGACACAGGGAACTGATGCCCATCAGAGTTGCCCCTGAAGAGGGCATGGCCAGCAGGACAGATGGCCCTGTAAGTCTGCTCAATTTCCAACCTCACACAGGAGGCTTCAGGGGCCTAGGTCAGGTCCAGAAAAATTCAGCCCTCCTCCTCTATGACTTGTGACCCTCTCTCAGATCTGCCTACCGCTTGGCTTCCCAAGAAGGCAGCCTAACTCTACGTGTACCCCACCTTCCACTTGCAACCTCACCCCTGTCCTCGGGACAGCCTCGACCCCGATGCACAGGGTTCCAGAACATCTGGCCTTCCTTAGAGGCCTGTGGAGGAGCAGCTGATGGGTCATGGCCTATGTCATGAGACCAAGGTTGCTGAGAAAGTCCTGCACGGCCAAGCCTCATACGCTTCCAACTTGTTCAGTTAATCCTTAATGAAAAAGAAAAAGTTTGGAGAAAAGAAGTCCATAATAGGTTTCTATCTTAAAAACACACAGGACTCAAGTTTTCTTTCTTCATACTGAGGCAGCATGCTGTCTTAGCTAGGGCTTTTCCATGTTGTGATAAAACAACATTACTAAAAGTAACTTGGAGAGGAAAGGGTTTGTCTTCCAAATGAGGGAAGTCAGGACAGCTGCTCAAACATTCCTCCAGGAGGCAGGCACTGATGTAAAGGCTTGGAGAAGTGCTCCTTACAGGCCTGTTCCCATGGCTTTCTCAGTTTTCTTTCTTATATCATGTGAGAACCACCAGTCCACAGGTGGCACACTGCCCACAGTGAGCTGGCCCTCCCATACCAGTCACTAATCAAGAAAATGCCCCACAGGCCAATCTAGTGAGTTCTTTTCTCAGTTGAAGTTCCCTCTTCCAAAAATGACTTTACTTGTGTTAAGCTTGTATTAAACTAGCCAGCACAAGTCAGAAGAGTGGGGATCTACTTTATCTTCTGCTACGAACTGGGAGATGTCCCAGGGAGAAGACTTAAAGCTGTTTGGATGATGTGGTGGCTATTCTTGGTTGTCAACTTGACTATATCTGGAATTAACTGAAACCTAAGTGCTGGGTATACTTGTGAGGATTTTTTTTTCTTAATTAAATCATTTTAAGAGGGAATACTGGCTTTTAATCATGGGGACACAACATGAGCAGGTAGTAAGCCACTTCTCCCCACTTCTTATATGGCACTTGATCCCCAGCCATTTGGGGAGCTTGTGGGACTTGTAGACTAAGCTACAGAAAATAGGTTTCTGAGAGGGCTCAGTTTGAGCCTGAAACTTCAGATGCCTGATGCTAGGATATGTGAGCACTCACCATCTGCCTTCCTTTCACCATGGAGCCAGCCACTGGTGCCAGCCACCATGCCTTGACTACCATGATGGAACAGCATCTCAAGCTCAAGCCATGAGCCAGCATCTGTCTTTGCTCCTTCTATTTGCTCCTTGACAGGCACTGGCACAGCAATAACAGCATCCAACACACCTACCAGCTTGCTTTTTCAGTTCTATTTCTTTAAGAAGCAGAAAATGAGCTGGGCATGGTGGCACACACCTTTAATCCCAGCATTCAGGAGGCAGAGGCAGGTGGATCTCTGAGTTCAAGGCCAGCCTGGTCTAAAGAGAGTTCCAGGACAGCCAGGGCTACACAGAGAAACGCTGTCTCAAAAGACAAGCCAAAAAACAACAACACAAAGAGCAGAAAATGAGAAGTACTCCCTATTGATCCCTGCTGGGTTCTTAAGTGTGTGTCCAGGCCACAGAGGCACCTGTAACACAGGCTGCGTGAGTACGGCCTATACAGGCAGCTGTGGTACTGTCAGTGTGCTAGTGACCACGTGGGGACGTGGGGACTTCCCTGCAAGCACATCCCACAATGAAACAGAGCTCACTCTCCACACACTGTGGGGCGAGACAGGGCAGAGCAGACCCCTATACAGCCCACTGGAAGGAAAGGCTCCCCACTCCCGGCTGACCCTGACCCTGAGTTAGATTCGAGAGCCTATATGGTACCTGACACCCAAGAACTGAAGGCAAAGTTAGTGCCAAAAAAGGGCTTAGGTTAGGCGACAGGAAGGAACCCTCTGTGATCAGTGTGTTTTCTTACAACAGGTAGCACGGAAGAAAACAGGACTGTAGTCATGGCAGGACACAAGGCTCCATCCTTTACAAAATGGCGCCACCTAGTGTTGCTCACTGTACATGGCTTGCACCTTGTTTTCATGACTAGACAGAGGCAAAAATCATGCATTACCCTGTTTTCATCATTGTTGTTGTAGTTTTTTTCTCATTGTAAAGATAAAAATTCCACACCTATTTTTAGAGGTATAAGCCATAATCATTAACCTTAAATATTATATATTAAATTCTATGCTATAAAATGAGCTAATTTCAGAGTTCCTAATGAGAGCAGTGATACGGTTTTGCTAATCACACTTGCCCTGTCTTTCTGAGGAATACCCCACTGGCAGCATAGCCCCTGTGAGGACACTTGCTTGGTCAGTGTTTTGGCCTCAGCACCATGAGCTCAAAGCTGACCATGTACCCAAGCACTGTTGGGCATGCTGCCACCAGCCTGACACCTGTCTTCTCTGAAGGGCCAGGGCTTCCTCTACTGCAACCCAAGCTGCAGGGTTCCACTCACTGGCCGAGGACATGCATAAGCTAGAGCAGACAAAGGCCCCCAGCAATGGCACTGGGGATGAGGACGGACCAGGAGACACCTGTGTAGCTATTCCATTGTAAGGTGAAAACCTGGGGCATGAGTGAAAGCACGCACTGAAGGCGAAGGAGCAGAGAGCTGGTAGGCAGGAAGGCGGCCGGAGATGTCCGTGCACTGGGGTTTTACTGTCAGTGTGCTTGCTAGTGCCTATGCTTGGCGTTTCTGTGCACAGTGTCATTTTACAAAGTAAAACGGAGTAAGCTTGCACATGGACCAAAGTTAGAGAAAGGAGGGAACACAGCGATAACTCAGAGGTTAAGGTTCCAGAGGACCCGAGTTAGAGACACAAAATTCTCTCTCAAGAGACTAACATTGCTAGGTAGTAGTCTTTCAGAGGCCCTCTGTGGTAGGCTAACGAGACTAACAAGGGGTCCATACCCTATTCTGGCCCCTGTGGCATTCACTCACGTTTACAACCCCCCACAAACACAATTTAAAAACTAATAAAGAATTAAATAAAACCTTTTCTTAGAAATAGATGCTTGGAACATTAACTAAGGATTAAGAATTATGTACAGTTATAGCCTCACGTCTGTAAAGATTGAAGGAGCAATATGAAGTGCTTATCCAGACAGTGAGGAAGGCTGCTTCTCTTTTTGAGACCTTCTTTCTTCACAAACACCAAGTCTCACTTCACTGAACCACAAGCTAATCAGACTCCAGCCTCCCAAGGAAGCTCCACCCACATTTTGCCACCTAGACACCTCTGACCTCATGCCTAAATCCCCAGGCCGATGAATACCATTGCTCCTCAAATGAGTGCAATCCAATCAGTCAGCCCACTATCTTATTCTTAAATTGTTGGGAGTTATAGTGTAATGGCAGCAAAGTTACACTGTGTCTCCTAGTTACTAACACTGGATTAAGTCAAATGCAATGGAATTTTATGTCTCTTCCCACAGATGAAAACTGTTACCAGCTTGCAAAATTATATTGCTCAATAAAAGAACTCACTGGTGTATCACCTTTGAAAACCTAAATATATTGCAAGTGTATCTATGTGTTTCCTCCATTCTTAACATCTTTTGAATTAAGATTTTTATTATATAACTAAAGTCTGAAAAACCAATATTGTCTCTGGAAAAATTATTTTCCAAGAGAAAGCTAATAAGGTCCTGATCAAAGTGTTTTCTGTAGCTACTGATACTGAGTCATACATATAATTACACAGATTATAAAATAATAATTAATATAACATTAAGATGCTATTTGTAGGTACATACCCCACCCAGGGAGCTACATCCAAGTGCTAAAAATTTTATCCACTCCACTTTCTCTTCACATGGATCCAGATCCAGGAGAGCTCTGAACTTTTCTACTGGCAGGCACAGATTTTTCCACTTCTTCTCAAGATCTGATAATTCCACATATTGTTTGTGGCTACACTGTTTAGAAAACACAGTATGACACACTCAGTTAAATAGAAAAAGCCTGTAAACTAGAATGATGCTTCAGAAGACTTAAAACTTATACCAAGTAACCGTTACGTGCATGGGAGATGGGCACTGCGCTGTGGGGACTGTGTCCACCCTGGTGATGAAAGCCAAGAAGGGACACGGGGCAGGAAGGGGCAAGGTGGATATTAGCAACGTTTAAAAAAAGAAAAGACTAGGGGGGTGGCTCAGTGGAAACAGTGCCACTCAAACACCCTCCTAAATGTTGGGCATGGTAGCACATTCTTTAACAACCAGGGGCCAAGCATTGTGCTCTAGGTTTACTGAGAGATGGTCTCAAAAAGTAAGGTGGAGAGTAATACAGGAAGAAATAGGAGTTGGCTTCTGGCAAACATACATACCACACCTTTATGCACACACATGTACAGGCAGACAAGCACACACACACAACTAAAGGAAATGAAAATTTTAAGGGGAAGGAAAGAGAGGGGGAGAGACAATGAGAAAAATGTCCTCTACCCTGGCTTCCTGAAATGAGCACGCAGATGTGGAGTACATGTTTCCTACTGTCTAGAATATTTCCCAATACAAAACTAACTTCAAAACCAGAGCAATATGTCAACCTGGAATCCTAACACTCAGGAAGCTGAGTGAGGAGGGTCACCTCAAGTTTGAGGAGATCCTGAACTATATATCAAGTTCCTGTTTCTCAAAAATTATGAGACCAGCTGGGTGTGGTGGCACATGCCTGTAATCTCTGAGAGGCAGAGGTAGACAGATATCTGAGTTTGAGGCCAGCCTGGTCTACAAAATGTGTCTAGGACAGTCAGGCTACACAGAGAAACCCTGTCTCAAAAAACAACCAAACAAAAACTATGAAATTTGTGGCAATTTGTTGAGAGAATGTACCTGCATACACACATACACACACATCTAACACACATTTACAAAATGAAAGTAAGATCTATACATGAAAAACTAGCTATTGGGATTGGTTTCTTTCCAAGAAACAACATGCCAGGGCAGCCCAGGACAAAGGGCAGCCACCCTAGTGTTTCAGGAGGCACAGCATGGTGACCGAGGTCCAGGTGGTTGAAAGGCTCTCCCACCTGCTTGTGCAGGACTTTCAGGAGTCCCTGGGTCAGGCCTGTGTCTGTCTTCTGCGTGGCCACGGGCATTTCAATTCTGTCCTTTACAGGAAGTGGGTCTCCTCTGGACAGGGCTGAAAAATACCTGGAATAAGAGAGATCACTGATGAACATCAGCACACAGGCAGCACCCGAGGCTTGCTCTGACAGCCCAGCAGCTGTGGTGGGTACTCCCAAGGCTGGCTCATCACACCGCAGTCCCAGGACCTCTGCTGAGCAGCCCCCTTGACCTTCAACTATGCACTCTGCTTTCTCTGTCCAGAAAGGAGACATGCTGATTGCTATCTGAGGGTTCCGGAAGCACCAAGAGACAGAGACCTCGGGGGCAGGGGAGTGGATGCAGGAGAACCTCACTGAACTGTGCTTATCTCATTGTTGGTCTCATTGTTCCCCCCCCCCCTTCCTCTAAGAGCTTTTGCAAATGTGGACAAAGGGAGCAGAGTCCAATGTTGTGTTACTTTGCTTTTACTGAAAATCTTTATTTTAACTTATATGTATGTGGTGGTGGGAGGCACATGAGTACAGATGTTCTTGAGTCTAGAGGTACCAGATGCCCTGGACATGGAGCCACAGACGGTTGTCAGCTATATGACATGGGTGCTAGGAGTTCAACTCAGCTCCTTTAGAAAAGCAAACAAATATTGTAAACATTGTCCCATCTCTCCAGCTCCTCATGCCCAAGGCTATTCATTTTTTGACAGCTGCTTTCTGAGGTATTTGACATTAAACACCTCTACATGTTTACTCGGAGTTGGCCTAGGCATACAAAGGTCATCTATTTTCTATTTTCCATTTTCCCCTATCTTGCCTGGTACTCCTTCCTCAATCGTTCATTTCTAGGACACTGAAAATGCTTATGCCAGAGGCAATGAAGGCTCCAAAATGGCTCAGGGCAACAGTTCAAGACTGGACTCCCATCAGTGTTGGCCAGAGAGAGGTGTGCCAGGCAGGATCTTGGGCCAAAGGACTTGTAGCCAGGAAAATGGACATGGAATGCCTTGTCCATCCCAAGGCATGAGAGAAACAAATGCAGAACTTTGGACATAAATGTCAGGCTGGAAGTCGGGGCCCAATTTGCAATACTGTGGCTTAGCAGGAGTCACCCATAGCAGTTCTTTATCACGGATCAAATGAAACATGAAGTTCCTAAGTAAGCCCTTTAAAATAACTGTTTCTGAAGTACTATCAAAGTGCCCAGGTGGGGTCGGGGTCTTGGAGTACAAATAAACTTTTATAAAAACTTATCTCTCAGTTTTTCCTAAGTCTTCTCTAAGAACAATAGTTAAAACCAAGGACCATAATATTGCATGGTGGACATTAAGAGCGCAAAATGCAGGTGATGGGTTCACAGGCGACTCTGACAGTTGAATAAGACGTTCAGGCCCCACCCCCTGGAACCAGCACTCTACCTTGCAAGTGTCTTTGCACAATTAGGGAGATGGGGAAATTATCCTGAGCAAACTGGATGGCTCCTAAATGTATCACAGGGATCCTCAGGAGAGGAAGGCAGAAAGAGAACCCATGGATTGTAGAGGGACCATTACAGCGCAGTTCTAACAGCTGAATCAGGGTAAGGAAGCAGCTGGCTTCTTCCCAAAGCCATCCCAAACGCCTGGTCACCTGCTGCAACCGACTTGGGGCTTTTCACCTCCAGAGCTGTTGTTTTAAAGTAAAACAAGTTGTTAAAACAGCCAAAAGAAGTAATTCTGCCTTAGCCATATAGTTCTGAGTGAGCAAAATTTGGCTAAAAGTATTTATTCTAGTGATTTATAAAGTGGCAAAGAGCTCTTTTGTAAAACCGAAAGAATGAGTGATAAGATAATGGTCTGGTCCTGGAGAAGGTTCGCTATCTGTGAGGTGCGCTAGCCAATTTTCGTGAATGACATTGCATACCTCAACCTCGGGGCTCACGGCGGCGAAGGCGGGGAGCGGTGGGTGGGGAAGAGGAGGTGGGGACAGATAGGCACGTTGCTCTGGCCACTTTTTGCCAGGTGGTTTGTGTGTAAGCGTTAGTCTACACCCACACTTAGGCGCCCGTACTCTGTAATCGGGTGAGGTTCCCGGGCCGGCCTTACCCCGCCGACCACTGCAGCACGTCCGTCGGCTGCGTGCGGATGGCAGCCTTGGTGAACTGCTTGAGGATGTCAGGCAGCTCCGGGGGAATATGGATTTGCTGAGCGCAGAACATGGTGTCGGGCAGCGGCATGGCTCTGGGCAGACCTTGGCGGCCAGGGACGATCCGGTGTGCTGCGGGGAGGAGAGGCAGGGGTCAGGGCGGCGGCGGTGGGGAGGGACGCGGCGGCCTCCGCTTCTACGGCTCCTCCGCCCGCTCCTGAGAACTGAAGCCCAACCGCCCTCCGCGCCGAGATCGCGCGACTGTGGCGTACAGTATCCTGGCAACCGGAGCTGCGCAGGCGCACAGCCCCGGCAAGCTGTAAGCGAGCGCCTGACTCCAGGTCCCGGTAACTGCTGAGTTGCCACAGAGGAGAGAATGCTGCAAAATGTTTTCCTAAAACACACAGGTTGAACCAGCCCGGACCTCAGAGGTCGCAAGCTGTCTTTTGATAAGACCAGGATCTCGGCTTGGTTTCGCCAGCTGTGGACCAGGATCCCAGTTGGTCCACACACGAACCACACGAATACACATTTGCAAACTAAAGCAGTTTTGGCAAAAAAACCAACCAACCAACCCCATCTAAGTTATTGATAGAATGGGAAAATGAGGACGCCCAAACACGGTTGACAGAAGTGCTCATATATCTGAGGACTACAGAATTTTCTGATGACTTAGCAATATAATTTGTCCTAAGGGAAAAATTAGTCTGGGTAGAGTAAATTAAAATGTCCCTTAGGTAGTTTGGTAGATTTCACTTTCGTTAAAACCTAAATCCTGGTCTCCCATTCAAAGGAATGCAACACAATCAGGTAAAATCGGCATACTTAAAGCTGGATGTACTTTAAGCAACTCAGGCTGGGGTTCATTCGAGTTCGGAGTTGGAGACTAGCCTAGGCAACATATACTGTTTGAAGAAGCAACGTCTGACCCCGCCCACGCCACCAGCACCACAAAAAATGAGGCACAAGACCCAAAAAGCTGAAGACTGTAAAACAATCTTGGTATGAAGGCGCCTGTTCTGTTCTTTTTAGTCTCTCAGAGGTTTAAGTTTTGACAATTTAACTTGTTTCTCTTAAATGAATTTTGCTGTTGTATCTAAAAAATGTATGCCTACCCCATAATTGAACTTCAAAACAAACAAACAAACAAAAAATACAACCAAACAACAAAAACAAAAACCCAAACAAACAAAACACCAAAACGTTTTCCTACATAAGTTACCGTTTGGGGCTTTACTTAGAACTAGTTCATCTTGCCTTTAATTTGTACTTACCTGTGGTATGAATTGGCTTGCTTTTCATTCTGTAACCAAAGTTCAAATACGTCACATTTTTTTCCGGTTTCCATGCACCTCTGCGGAGAATCCACTGTCTATGTATGGGAGTGTCTGCTTTACCAGGAAGATCGTGGCAAGAAACTGGCCTTCTAAGCAAAGAACAAGTCAATGTGGCTCCCGAGCAAGAAGCTCCTCCAAGTAGGTCCGAAACAATAAACTCCCAAGCAGAAACTCTTCGGCAGTATTATATAGGCAAAACAAAACAAAACCATAAACGGCTAAACAATGTAAACGGATGCAGAGGGGCCTATGTCTTGGTGACTTGTGTGTTTTTCCACAGCACCAGCAGGCTGATGGAAGAATTAGGTGTGTGTGAGTGCAGAGCTATAGATCCTACTGAGGAAGCAGCTAGGTCCCAGCAGTCACCCGTAGGCACCTCACTTATCTCTCCCATCTTTTGGTTACTTTCTACTCTCTACTGTGGTCCTTAAAGGCAGACATCTTCTCTAAGAGGCCTCAGTGCTTTGACACATTGACTTTCCTAATCACTGTGTTTGCAATGAGTGAATAGGGACAAAAACCAGTTGTTTTTTTAAAGATTTCCTTAAAGAAGAGTTTCAATTTCACAGATTAGAGATGTCTCTGGTTCAAAGAGCATTTTTCCACCACTCCCACATTAAAGAACAATGTATTTAATTGGGTGGAGATGACAAAAATGTTGAAAGCTTTTGAAAAAGTGAACCTAGAAACAGAAAAAATTAGAAATGACCCATAAAACCAAAATATCTTGTCACCCTAAAGGAGAAAAACTCATGTAATCCTTTCCTTGTCTGGCATATGGGCAATGGCATGAGATGGTTTTCTGACATGACTGATAAGGTCTCTATCCCAAAGAGATGGTGGGAGGCATGAGGATGTGGGAAGTCAGCCCATGGCACAAGTGGAGAGGCTCACTCCTACTGGGAGAGACACTCTTCCTTCACACGCATGAGCAGGGACAGACGTGTCCTCTGCAGCTACAGTTCCCACCCAGTCAAGGGAGAAGACAGGACTACACAGCTGCAGATAACTGGTTTTCTTACAAACACTGACATATTTCTGAATTTTATTAATTTATTTGGAGGTGGGGCCTTTCTGTTACGCAGGCTAGCCATGAACTTCTGAATGCTAGCAATCCTCCTGAATGTTTCCCAGTCAGCTGGGTCTCACACATGTGCCACAGTAACAGCCTCATACTTCTGTAAATTAAAAGCAATCTTACATCAAAATTAAAACACACAACCAAAAAGAAAACAAGGCTACAACTAACATCCACTTTATTCAATTCTGTTCTCTTAACTCAGAAGGCAACAAATGACCACATAAAAAAGGGAGCGTTTTTTGAATATATACACATAAAATTGATCTGGGTACAGGTGTTTACTGTAATAGAAAACTGACACCCCACATCACTAAGTGTTCTATTTCACTCCTACAACAGACACCCCTAGGCCTTAGTCATTCGTTTCCATCTATGGTACTATAGGACTGTCATGATTACAAAATGAGGCACTCATACAGACAGGAATGGAAACATACATATACATGTATACTGTCTTATTTTTATATTAATGCCAAAACTATTGTTGGAGAGTATTTGAAAGAAGCCCTTACTCATGACAGCTGTTTAAATATTTGACACAGCAGCAATAAGCTGAAAACAAACATCTGATTGACAGGGCAAATTAAGTATGTGGATACAGGGCAGATTAAGCAAAGAACTTAAGAGACCCATCACAAATGAGGTCTTTAGTAACACTTCAGTGGTACCACTATGTTTTCATCTTTTCCCTTGATAGTGACCGAACAGTTAAGATTCTAGGACGGTTTAAACAAGAACTTTGAACAGCACAATGTAAAAACGAGGCATCACAGTAACTAGCCATCCTGGAGAGGAAAGAAAGGAGCTAATTTGCAGCACCGTGACAAGTGCCAAAGTTCTTGCATAACGGCACTGGCTCCTGCACACACAACAGTGTAGAAATGTCCAATGTGTATTTTGTGTTTGTCTTAAAAAATGTATCAGTTCAACCTAAATTTAAGAATATACTTTGATGGAGCATTTGTGCAACACAGAAACGACGCACCTAATAGGTAAATCCATCAGCAGAAAGCTACTGCTACTGTGTAAGGGGAAGGACAAACTAAGATTTCACAGCAATAACAATTATACTGAATGTTGAAATAACAATTACTTGTTCACCTCTGGAATAGAGATGTCCTCTCTCCTTTCTCCCCCGAGATTGGGAGTGGGGGCTGGGATCACAACTATCAACATGAAACTTTAAGGCTAGCTACATGCAAATACCACACTGACGTTTTCTTCAGTTTTCATCTAGACAATCAGTACTTTGTAGTTTAAAAATCAAACCATAATTTGTTAATAATGAACTACTACACATTTCAAACTGACCATTTGATAACTGATCATGTAAAACTAATCCCAAATGGTGATCTGTCTTCAAATCATAAGTAATAGAGCACAAAGGTCTTTCCTAGTAAACGTCCTTGAAGACTAGATTAGCCCAATTCAAAATGACACAGAACCCTTATCTTTAAATCTCCTGTAAAGACAGGCAGCAGACAGGAACACTTTCTGAACCGAGGGTTTTAAATGTTTATGCTGTCGGGGAATAAAAGCTGTATGCTACCCTAGCAAATGTTATACACAATAAATCTGAGGCTGTATCTTACTGAAAGCCACTGGACAAAGAAACCTGTAAACCCAGGAGGAATTCCTCAGTAAGAGAGCAGAGTCCCCTGCCAGTAAAATGAGGGCAAATTCTGGAAACCTGTATTGTCTCTATTTGTTTTCAACAAAACATCTAATAAGGGTTGCTTAAAATTTCAGAGGATTAAAAATTTTTAACTTTTGTGGTAGATCCATAAATTCTTTAAAAATTAAAGCTAAATAATATTATATGCCCAATTCACCAACATCTTTCTCCTCAAAAGATGAGGTTTTCATAGAAAAACCTCATGACAGGTGGCATTAATTTTAAAATTCTAATTCTTCCAAGTAGGACCACATCTGAGTGAAGGTGGGTTTGCTAGAAGAAGTTACTTTACACACAGGGGAAAGAGCTGTTACAAAGTGACAAAAATGCTAACACTGGATCCTGTGGCAAATATTGTCACTGTTTTTTTTTTTTTAATTTAATATAATGCTGCTTTAAAGCAAAGTATTTGCTTATCACTTAGTGAATTTAAAAAAGACAAATTAAAAATAAAAAAAACCCAAAAAACCAAGAAAAACAAACAAACACCTCAGACCACCTTTCCACCTATGGGTTTAATACTCCATGGAATTCCTTACAGTCTCGGACAGCTTCTAACACTACCCTTACAATACACCTTTACATTAAATACTTGGATGGTGTACAACCATCTCTTAAAACTTCACACGTGAAGCTTTGGCTAAGGAACCAGGCTTCTGAGTATTCAGTTCTTTAAGATAGCATAGCACTTCCCCAGTGCAACTCTTTCCTACAGTGAAGGCCAACTCAGTCTGCTTCCTTTCAAACAAATAAAACTTGGTTTTACTTGCAGTTTATTGTAAACAAAGAGCTTTGGAAACTGGGATGTACTGGTGTATTCACTGAGCATCGGCTGTTGTGCTGCCAGCATGGCAGGGTGTTCTAGTCATCCTCCCTGACGCAGTCAGCCCCACACTACAGCCTAACCCTTGGCCCGTCACAACTGGTACTGTTGGTGATGTTACCCTCTAAGATCTCTCATCTGGCATGACACTTTTGGCCACTGCTGACAAGAAACAACTGTATGGTGGGGAGGAGATTAAGAAAAATCTTCATTTGTAGTTTATCTTTCTAGGTATAGACATGCCCCTAACAAGCAGAAAAAAACCCCAACTCCCAATGCTGATCACTAGGAATATTAAATTATCAAAATTAAAAATAATTTCCTCATCTAGCACAACATACTATACAATATTACAAACAAAGACACATGAAAACAATCAGGCAGTAGAAAATGTACAACAGCTTTGGTGTTACGTGGAATAACTTCCAAAGACAACTGTCTGTGAGGCACTCTGTCCACGTCCCTTACCACAGACTCCACTGCTCATTTGGCTCCTGGTAAGGACTGACCAGCCAAGAACAAGACTCAGTTACCTCATGAGAACTGCTGGCAACACCAAGAAGTGTGCTCCAAAAGATGTCACTCAAAGTCTTGCCTATGCACTACTGCTCTGTGGCACATTTCCTGTTGAGATCACAGCAGGTCCAAAATAAAGTGACAACTAGATTTAATAAATTAATATACATTTGTTAAAGATGTACAATGCACATTCTGTTTAATCCAAGGTTTCAGGGCATCAAGGAACTCCTATTTACACATGTACAGATCTCAGACAGCAGTGATGTCGGCAGATGCAGGCAGGAGCAGCAGTGCCGGATGTGCTGCTCTGAACGCTGAGGACACAAGTGGAGTACATTTAACTTAAACAACGCTGAGATCACAGGGAGAGTCTCCAAAGTGAGAAGTCCACAAAAAAGGACAAGGAAAGGCAAGGAGAAGGTCAAGGAGTTGACACAAGCACTTTATTCTTGGGACGACTGTGGAGGTGGCGTGGATGGGCCTTGCTTGCCAGATTTGCGCTCATAGTTCACCAGGCGTTGTCCCACAAGGTACCTAGAATACAAAAACAGCGTGGTCACTTTCCTGTATAACTCCAGGTAGGCTGAAGGGGAGTTTAAAAGGAGTGCAAAGGCCAGCGTCTTGGAGCAAAGCAGAGCAAGGTCTTCCGTAAGGTGTGGTTTGTGGAAAGGTACAGAGCAGTGGAGACAACACAGCACATGCAGTGGGGAAGCCTCTATTGTGGCAGGGAGGTTACAAGTCTCAAGTGCAGGCACTTGCTCCAAAGCAGGCACAGCAAAGAGATGCAGGGGATTCTCTTTTTTCAATTTGTTAGGGTTCACATTGTATAAGCCACCTTAGTGTTGAGACTTCAGGAAGCAGACTAAATATGATGGGCAAAGAGCTGGGAAGTGAAAAAAGCAGGACTTGAGAAACTGGTTCTAGAGCGAAGGAGTAATGAAGAGCAGATTCCAGCAAGGCCAAAGGTGAGGATGTATCCATGTGAATGAACAGAAGGGTGCTGCTAACTAACATGCTGTGAAGAAGAGAAAAGGCAATGGCAAACAGGGTGGGCTATAGCAGCAAGGTCCATGGTACTGTGACACTGGAGAAATTTCCCACAGCAAGACAGAGGAGCTGCAAAAAGGGCTCACTGAGTAAGCAGATGTCCTGGGCACCAACCCCTGTAAGATGGCAGGTGACAAGGGCAAACAGCAGCTGGCTGTCAGAGCTGGGCATATGTACGTGGAAGCACACACTAAAGGCTCCACTACATAACCTGGGGAGGGCAGGAAAGCCATTTACTTGAGTGGTGGGGAGACTAGTGAAAAGTGGAACCTGCAATGTGAGCTATCATGAACAAGGGCTGGGACCTCAGTTTACATTTTTCAGTGACATAAAAATGGTAGTATCATGCCACATGATTATTTTGAGGCTACAAAGCCCCACGACAAAGGCTTTGCACCTGTTAGGAGGCTTGATGTAGCTGACCCTGGATTCTCATGATCACCTTCTAACCCTGACTTCCATCTACCACTCTTTTGTCAGTGCACACAATCCTTAAGATACCTCTCAGCTTCTGCCCATGTCACAGTTAATAAGGCTCACACATCTGAATGCTTCTTTACCCATGATCTCAATATCTAATCCCTTTCACATGCCTAATTCTTTTCTTAGAGTTAACCATTTCTTAACCCACTGCTCCCTCACAAAGCAGTGCTTTTTGAAACTATGGATTTTAAAAAACCTCTTATATGATAGTGCTATTTGACAGAATATACAGAGCCCTACCTAACACACATCATCACATAGATCAGGATATGTCAAGACTGTGGGCAGTACCATGATGTTGAAAAAGCAAAGAAATACAAAGTATGGAAGTTAAATGGTGGTCATTTGCCCAAGAGCAACTGATCAATGACAGAAACAAGACTCTGAATTCATGTGCAACTCTTTCAACCTCCCTCCCTCCAGGCCCCGAGTCCATGTTCTTCTCTCTATACCTCCTACAGACCAAGCTATGCCAAATGATGCATACACAGACAGACAACACATGCTAGTGTGTGCTGTAATGGGAAATAGAGTGGAAACTAGGAGTCCAAATGTTTTTTTTCCTGTCTGTGTCATGATAGCAAAAAGGTAGTTACAGGAGGGAAAAGGGGATGAGACAGGTAAGAGGGGATAGACAAAATGATGCCTGAAAATGTTATGCTGAAACAGTACTTTGTCTGCTAATTAAAAAATAATAAAACTGAAAGTAACAGGTGAACACAGACCCTTGGAGAAGACTGGAAAAGGTATGCATGAGGACAAGTGGGTCTTCAGAATAAAAAGGGATGGTGGTAGGGAAAACTGTAGTACATCTCTACCAAAACAGCAACAGAAAATTGATCACAATGAAAATCCTCCCCCTCTCCCCTTCTTGGAAACATTTCTTAGGAATCCTCAAATGAGTAAGGTGACTATAGAATGCATCTCAAACAGGGCATTGATGATAATACTGACATGATGGCCCACAGGCAGAGAGACACAAACAGTTATACTGGCTTTCTTTGTAAGCACATTAAGAACAAGTGAGTCAGACTTCTCTGAAGCCATTAAAGTTCCACAGTTTTTATCTTTCCCAGGATATCCTTCTCTCCAGCCTAAAACACTCCATGCATTCAATCTGTAAGCAAACCTGCTAATGCTATATCAAAGTGTCTACTAGATGAGCATTTTTCTTATATGATTTATCATACTGAGTACTGTGGTAGTTTGAATAAAAATGCCCCCCACTGGCCCCATTAGGTGTGGCCTTGTTGAGGTAGGTATGGCTTTTAGGAGATATGTCACTAGGGGGCAGGCTTTGAGGTCTCAGATGCTCAAGGCAGACCAGCGGCTCAGTTACTTCCTGCTGCCTGTAGATTGATGTAGAACTCTCAGCTCCTTTTCCAGCACCATGTCTGCCTGCCTTTGCCACCATGATGCCCACCATGACAAATAGACTAATAAACCTCTGAACTATAAGCCAGCCCAAATAAATTAAATGTTTTCTTTTATAAGAGTTGCTGTAACAATAAAACCATTAAGACAAGCACAAAACCCACAAAATGACACCACCATAAGAGTTGCTAGATGAACACAATTCTAGACTTACTTGTCATTTTTAATGTGTTCATAAAGGCGCTTAAACTGGCGGACCTGGAAGGACAGGATTCCCATCAGCACAACGACCATCAGTAAAAATGGGTAAATCCGCCGGTGGACTAAGTTCTGCATTTCTGCAGTAACACCTGTAAAACCAAAGACAATTTTATTAAAGCAAAAGAAAATGTACTAATGAGTCTATGGGCTAAGAACGAGGTCTGGCCTTTCTCTAGGAAAAGGCATCTTGGTGCAGGAGAAAAACTTCCAAAAACATTCTGCTAGCCTCAAAGACTAACACCTGCTTTTCTCTTCTGTGAAATAAGGGAGAACAGGTAGGTGCTAAAGAAGTTTCATCAAATACAAATATCCTGGATTCCACAAGGAGTTGGTAGTGTCATTTTTGTACTTCATCTATGCCATCATTTAAAAAATTAAAATACTGTGCTTATATAGAAAAGGGGATATGGCTCATTGGTAGAGTACTTGCGTAGTCTGTATGAGGCCTTAATTTTAACTTTAAGCACTGAAAAACAAAGAATAAAAAAAGAACTGTGCCTAATTAATGAAAGGTCTGACTAGGAATGCCATATAGTACCATGCTTGGACACCATGAACAATGTCCTGGGTTTGATTCCCAGCACCACTACATAAAACCAGGCATATTGGAGCACACCTATAACCCAGTATTGTGGTTTGATAAGACTCATGTGTTCGAATGGGTGGCCATAGAGAGGGGCACTACTAGGAACTGTGGCCCTGTTGGAAGACGTATGTCACTGGAAGTGGGGTTTGAGGCCCTGCCCAGTGTGGCACACTGTCTCCTTCGGCTGCCTGTAAATTAAGAAGTAGAACTCTCAGCACCATGTTTACTTGGATGCTGCCATGCTTTCTACCATGATGGTAATGTACTAAACCTTGGAGACTAAGCCAGCCCCATTAAATGTTTTCCTTTGTAAGTGTTGCATTGATCATAGTGCCTCTTCACAGCAATAAAACCTAACTAAGACACCTAGCAATAGGGAAACATAGGCAGGAGAATCAGAAATTCAAGGACAACCTTATCTATATAGCAAGTTCAAAGGCAGCCTGGGACCCAGCCTTCCCATGCTCCCAAACACAGAATATAAACAAACATGTATTTACTCTTATGGCACTTAAACTACTTGTTTCAACTTTGAGCTTGTGAGTTTTGGCTTTTCTTTCAAATAGGGAGGCTTTAAAGCCTGAAAATGTGTTTCAAAGAAAGTAGGAGCCTCACAGTTAGTTTACTCCAAATGTCACTGCCCTGTTGTGATGACAGACCATGTACTCTGGAGCCCAGCAAAGCTCCAATCTTCCTCTCTTAAAATCTACAGTTTGGGGAGGATGCTCAATCTATGAACCTCAGTTTTCTTATCTCTATACAGGGGTAGGGAGATGGGCTATATAATAGAGGACTGGGTCTGACCCTTGAGTCCACATGAAGATTGACATGATGGTCCTGCTCCTGCTTGGAAAAATATTGCTGCAGAGGCAGAAGCACAGATCCTTGGGTTCAGTGGGTAACCAGCCTGGCCTGAAAGGCAAGCTCCTGGCCAGTGACATACCCTGTTTCAAAATAAGGTGGACAAGTACCTTTTTATTACCTAAGCAACAATATCCTAAGATGATCTTACACACACACAAAATAATAATAATAATAAATAGTAACTATATGACAGTGCTTTATTATTCATTTTGTTCATTTACTACAATAACCCCTTTTGTTAAAGAGTTTCCCTGGGCCCAGGGCGTAGCTCATGCCTTTATCCCAGTACTTGGGAAGCAGAGACAGGCTAATCTCTATGAGTTTAAGGCCAGCCTGGGCTATAGAGCTAGTTCCAGGACAGCCAAGGATACACAAAGAAATCCTGTCTTGAAAAACAAACAAGAACAACAAAGAGTTTCCAAAGAAGTACATCAAAATTTATTTTTCCCTTTTTCATTGAGACAGGATCTTGATGTATAGTGCAAACTGGTCTCAAACTTAAGATCTTAAAGCTTCAGCCTCTGAAGTACTGGGATTACTATGCATGCATCCTAATGCCATCAAAAAGAAATTTCTAATACACATATGAAAATATTTATCTTTGTAAGTCAAATTGTAATTCTTAAGTCTATATACCATCAATGGGAAAGCTGAAATATACCCCAATAAATACAAATATAGAATATTTCAAACAGCCAAAATGGCAACAAATTCACATTTTGTTAACCTAGTGTTTGTTTTTTATAATGTTGTAAAAAATGTACTCTTTGAAAGCTCCATATCAGCATTACCCACCTAGTAAAGGAACCACGCCAGAAGCTATGACATATGGTACACACAGGGAAAGCAAGAGCACAGAGATCACTGGGGCTGCCAGCTTACGAATGATATAGTGAAGGTCGATGTTACGGATGCCATTTGCGTAAACCTGAAACATTGAAAAGCAGTGGTTAGGGTGTGAGCCATTGAAGGTTGCTAAGAAGGGCAAAGGTTAGCTAGAGACAACTTAAACATTTGTAGGCCTGGAAATGACCAGAGAAAACATTGATAAGCTTTATTATGCACTCCGTCAGGCTTTCTAAAAGAGGATCTCATGTAGTCTAGACTGTCCCTGAACTTGCTGTATAGCTGAGGATGACCTTGAACACATCATCTTCCTGCCTTTACATTTCAAGTACTGCAACTGAAGGAATGCAGCAGCAGACATGGCTATTAACTATCCCTTATCTACTGGCTTATACAGGTTCTCTAAAATTTTGTTAATCTTTCCTAATTAGCTAGAATTCAAAGATATCTCTTTAATAATTATTCATTTTCAGGCCATAAACTTATTTTAACAGCCATAATATGAGAAAACAAAACTGCCTCCTCTTTTGAAAAGGAGAAAGAGTCTAGGTGTTGTGGCTCAAGCCTTTAATACCAGCACTATGCAGGCGATACAGACAGATCTCAGAGTTCAAGGGCAGCCTGGTTTATAGAGCAAGTTCCAGAAAAGCCAGGGCTACACAGAGAAACCCTGCTTAGAAATCCCCTCCCACCCAACTCCAAAAAATAGAAAAAGAGGCCAGCAAGTTGACCAAGTGCATAAAGGTGCTTGCTATAAACCCTGATGACCTATTCAATCTTCAAAACTCGCATAGGTGTGCACGCTCACACATGCAAACACACTTAAAAAAAAAAAAAAAAGAGCTATATCTGTACACTAATAAAAACAATTCAGACAAGCAGAAACATGAAAACTAAAATCCCATTAGCTAAATACAACCATGACCCATTTCTGAGTATCTTTCTCTGAAATTGGCTCCTTACCTGTTCAATGACAGTTTTCAACCACCACTGAGGGCCCATAAGAGTTATAGCTGCGATAATTTTGGCATGCAGCACTCCCAGTGCCCAGTCCTATGGTGAGAGAAAAACCAAGAACACTTAACACATCTTCACTGATATCACAAGTAGGCCTAACACAAAGGCTGTTTAGTTTCAGAACAGATGCTGCCCAGGACTGGTAACTTAGCTAAGCTTCTGACAGTTGATAGCTTCTGGGAGACAGAGTTAGTTTTCTTTAACAGCTCTACCACTGCCGGGTAAAGACCATACACCCAAGATTATCTGAGCAGCATGTATTTGATAGATTTAAGATTTCCCCCTACAAAGGATACCAGGTTGGGGACCAGTTAGGGAAGGGGGGATGAATCTGGGAAGAGTAGAAGGAAAAAATGAATATTACCAAATACATTGTACAAAACACTCAAAGGACTAATAAAAATGAGGAAGATTGTTACGTAAAGGCTCAGTTGATACTCCTATATCTTTTAGAAACTTAAATTATTTTCTCAAGAAAATATAGAAAAGCCTGAGCATTAATGGAGACCCCAGGAAGCAAATAAAATAAATGCTATTAATTTAACCAGCCATGCTTGTTGCTTCTCCTGTGATACTAGTATGGACTGAGCTAATTTATGTTGTATAATAAAACATTTTTGGCATAAAGAAATTATTCCAAGGCTTATGATCAAGCTCAGGCATTTGTGGTTTTCCTGAGCTTGTTTCCAGCTCCAGACTGTTTTCCATTCCCAGGACTGCTGAAACCAGAGTCCTCATAGTTCCTTACCTCCAACCTCTCCCCTTTGGCTAGCCAGTAACTACCCTGCCCCTCTCACTCCACTGAGACATTTTAAACAATGTACATCATACCCTACAAGACAGTACTCTGCTTAGACCCCTAAATCTTTACCATGTTATGAAATACCGCTTTAATTTTTTTTTTCCTTGATTTCATTACTTATTTAGAGAGATGAGGAACAAGTGCATCCCATGGCATATGCACGGTCAAGATACCTGTGTGGGTCAGTTCTCTCATGTGAGTCCTGGATTCCTGGATAGCAAGCTCAGGGAAGAGCAACATTTTAATCCATAAAGTATTCCAAGAAAGGGATTTATGTAACCTTCACGTTTTTTTCTTTTTTTTCTTCTTTCCTTCCTTTCTTTTCCTCCTTCATTTATTCATGTATTAATTCACCTTACATCCTTGTGTTAGCCCCATCCCTCCTCACATCCCAGTCCCACCCTTCTTCTCCACCACACCCCTCCCCTACTCCTCAAAATACATGAATGAAGAGCTCAAGCTATAACAAGACCTTCCCATCTACCCCAGCTTATCAAGTCCTATCAGAGCTGAGCATGTCCTGTGGCTTGGCAAGACAGTCCCTCCAAGGGGAAAAACTGAAAGCCTTTATATTTTAAAAGAGTAAAGGGCATTATTTCAACAACTTTACAGGGGTTCCTAGAATAGAAAAATAATTTTCCTAAAACAATTGCATAAAATAAACTGAAATACTCAAAGATTTTTTTTGAGCCTACATAATTAGCAATAATCATGAGAATAAAATATATATATTTACCTGCCAAGGGTAGAAAAGAGGAGTCTGGTCAAGAGGGACCCTCAGAGGAGCAACGATAACCAGCTCAAATAGAAGCCCCAGGAGCAGTGGGACAACCCCGGCCAGCAGCACAGCAACTATCAAAGTCTTCACTATCTAGTAGGAAATAAGACACAGAATCACTAGCAAACCTTCCTTGGTGATAAACTCTATTCTACTTTCAGGCTTGTTTTCCTCTTTGACCTGACGTCCAACAGGGTACCCATACTATTTTAAACAACTTATCCACACATTTTTATGTTATACACTTCAGTAGAATTTTTTAAATGCATATGTATATATGTGAGGGTGCCCCTGCACAGATAGGCACCCATGTGCACACATGTAGATGGAGGCCAGAGGACAATCTCAAATGTCATCTCCTCTTTTGAGAAAGAGAACCTCATTAGCACAGAACTCATCCATTAAACAAGACTGATCAGCAGTGAATCTCAGGAGCCTCTTCACCACTAACATTACAACAACACATCACCAGTGGGTTCTGGGGAGCTTGCTAGGCAAGAGCTTTACCACCTGAGTCAGCCTCAAACCTATTCTGTGAACTCATTTAAATGTCTGAATGCAGAGCTCAAGCTGTAACAAGACCTAATAATATGACTACAGATTGTTGCTATAAAAGGAATTTCCTCCCCAAAATTTCATCTACTGTTACTCCCCAAAATTTCATCTACTGTTAACAAAATGACTGTTGTTTTCCTCAAAATATCCTTCTCATTACTTGATTTTTATCTGCCTACAAAAATCTACTGATTTGTCAAAACACTGGTCCCATGTTCATAAGCTGATTTGTGATCCTTCACGTAAACTGGTAGCTCGCTCTAACTCTAGTTAAGGTAATTCATCAAGCCAATCAGAATAACCTAGTTTTTTGATGAAGAAAAAAAGCTACCATCTGTTTAATACATTAGCAGCTATAGCTAGTGTATTAACAATGCAGTTTTAGAATTTGGATTAAGTAGCAAAATTTAGAATAAATTGATACAAAGTAAAAGGAACTATAAAATACTAACAATTAAACCAGTCTTTAAAATGACTGTGGGTTCTGGTGACTTCTTTTTAAGATGCCATCAGTGGATACAACTATTCTAACATGTGACCAAATATGGTAGTGGTGGAACACATACCACCTCTTTTCAAAGCTCTTGTCAAGATACGATAAAACTACCAAATAAAACTAAACTTAGCTGGTTTCTATATTTTAAATATAGTTAAGTGGCTTATTACTCTACGGACTAAGTAGCAATTAACCCTCTCCACTCATAACTGCAATAAATCTCTCACTACAGACATAGATGTTATCAACATGTAAGGAATGTACCATGATGGAAAAGTGAAATATGCTAGTCTGATTAGAACACCCTACATATACAGGTATTACTAAGTTAGCACATGGTACCAAATAATATGTGTAAATAATAAGTAATAAAACATTAAAATGGTTTCAGCATAAATATAAATGTATAAAGTCAGATGCAAAACTCAGAGCTGATTACCCTAATGACTAGGCAGAGAAGTGCCCTGCCATATTTACCAGCACAGACAACAGTGTGTACAGGCATTTTTCTACAATCAGAAAAGGACACCCTGTCATACCCTGTGTGAAATCAGGGATTTGAGAATGACTTCTCTTACTTGTATGTTTGTATCTCCAAAGGTATTTTCAGTAATTCTTCATTATTTCATGGTATCACTTGGCAGTACACTCTCCTATGTTAGCTCTCAAGTGTGTCTGGGTACAGACCTATGGTTCTCAAGTGAACAGAAGGTTACATCAAGTGAAACAGAAGGTTACTATCTTAAAGGAATATGCCTTCTGTTTTTTGTTAGTTGGTTGGCTGGTTTGTCCAGACAAGGTTTCTCTGTGTAGCCTTGGCTGTTCTGGACTCGCTTTGTGGACCAAGCTGGCCTCGAAATCACAGAAATCTCTCTGCCTCTGCCTCCCTGAACACTGGGATTACAGGCCTGCACCACCACACCTGGGTTGAAATATACCTTTTGATTAAAAAAAACTCTCCTGAAAACCAGTGACACAATAAGAAAACTAATGGGAAACACCTGTTAAAGCATTTACTTTACCCTCAGCAAGATCAATCTCTTGTTACAAAAACATACCATGAGAGACCACTCTTTAACCTTCTGGAAAATCACTCTGCGTCCCTGTGGCATCCAGGCCACCAGCACGGTCACCGCCCTTATGGTTAGCCAACACACATAGAGACCACAAGCAGCAGTGTACAGCTCATGGATCTTGGCGGTCCCCGTCCAAAATGACATTAACCAACGGCCAGCAAATACTGAAAAAAGAAAGGCTGACAAATGAGACATGTGGCTAGGTAAAGAGAACTATAATCTTGACATTCTTTAAATATTTTCATATCAGAATAAACAAAAACAATAAACAGCTCTTCAGGAAACAGAATTACTTGAATAAGGAACACCCAAAAAACATAGGAAGTCATGAGCTGATTATCCCAGAATAGGCACCCTGATCTGCCATGCCATTTACTAATTTCTTCTGGCCTGGGCAGTTATAAACATTGATGCTTTTATTATTTATTACCAACTAAAATTATTATGATAATAGGATAAAGAGAGAAATTTTCTATTATTTGTGCTGTCAATATTTTATCTAGGAACATTACAAACAATTTGGGTTAATTTTCTTCCAAGTGATACATTCATTTGCACAGAAAACTCAGCTTTTTAAAATAAAGTGGGCACAATAACATTTCAAAAGACAGCATCAAGGAATACTGCCTAAACTTCCTTTAAAAAAAAAAAATCAACATCAACACGGAACAGTAAGACACAGACTTGAGATGTTCCTAAAGGTTGTTAGTTTTGCGCTTTGTTTTTTGTTGTGAGACGGTTTTTACAGTATAGTCCAAGGTGGTCTAAAGATCAAAAGCAATCCTCCTGCCATGGTGTCCTGAGCACTGGGCTCTCAAGTGTGAATCACAGCACAGCTATTACACAGTTAACTGCTCAAAAAGTTTTGTTTTGTTTTGTTTTGGGGGAAAGTTTCAAGACAGGGTTTCAGGGTTTCTCTGCGTAAGAGCCTTGGCTGTCCTGGACTCAATCTGTAGATCAGGCTGACCTCAAACTCACAGAAATTGCCTGCCTCTGCCTTCCAAGTGCTATAATTAAAGTGATGTGCCACCACACCTAACTGTGCATATTAATTCTAAAACACCAAAATCACCACTGATATTTAGTGCTCTATATTCCACTTTGTCTCTGAGATTTTTTAATTATTTTTACATTTAACAGCCAATATCTATTTCCTCTCTCTCTTCTGTTTTCCCTCTCCCCTATTTTCTTTCTCTTCCTCTCCCTCCTCTTAGCTTCTGTGAAGACAGGGGTAGCTTTCAACCCATCAATTAAGTTGGAGCTGAGAGGCAACCTATGGGAAGAAGCAAGCCCCCATTACCCTCAAATGTGCACTGTTAAAGCTCTTCTGTAATGAACTGAAGTTACTCTTTTTACCATGTTAGACTAAAGAGAAATGTTTAATACCAGTATTAAGTGACACTGAATTACTCATATTACTAAATTAAAGCATTAAATTAGTTTCTTCTATTATTTATTTATTTATTTATTTATTTTTGAGAGTTTCTTTGTGCATCCTTTTCTGTCCTGGAACTCACACTGTAGACCAGGTTGGCTTCATACTCAAGAGATCTGCCTGTCTCCCATGTGCTGGGATTAAGATGTTCTACCATTGCCCAGCTTTTATTAATTTTTTAAATTCTGGTAAAAATATGAAAATGGAACATGAAAGCCATGAGTATGTTCACATTATGGCTAGGCAGTAAGCCAGCTATGATTTGAGAAGGATGAGGAACTTCAGAAGTCTTCATGTAGAATGCTTAGCAAGATGACATCTGTATTACACATGTATGCCCATTCCCCAAGCTCAGAGATCCTGGAGGAAGAGGGAGTAGAAAGCGCCAACCACCCACAACACAGGGCTGCCACACTTACAAATTCACAGCAACTATGTTTGCTGGTATAAGATCTCAACAAGATCAAGCCAATCAATTTCCAGCTTGGAGTAGGAAGGAGTTCATAAGCCCCACCCCTACCCCTATCTGGACAGCTGATGGCTAGGAGGGAAAAATTTGTTTTCTTTAAGGGCTGTAGCTCCTGAGAGGTTGAACCACTGTCTACAGCAGTGGTTCTGAACCTTCCTAATGCTGCAACTCTTTAATACAGTTCCTCAAGTGACCCCCCAACCATAAATTATTTTATTGCTACTTCGTAACTATAATTTTGCTTTGTGTTATGAATAATTAAATATCTGATATGCAATTCCTAACAAGGTTATGACCCACCAGATGAGAACAGCTGATCTAATGGAAGGCCCCATATCCAACAGTACATGGGCAATACTAAATGGACTGGACTGATTATTAAAAAATTTTTTTAATTTAATTAAAAATAAAACAGGACATAGAGTTGGGAATTTAAGGAGGTGAGATCTGGGAGGAGTTAGGGGTAAAACTCAATAAATTCTCAAAAAAAAATCAGTAAAAATAATCTTAAAGTCTCCACATAGAAATGAAGGTAAAAAAAAAAAAAAATCACAATTTCTTCAAATTAAAAATGATTTAAAAAAATGTTTTCTTCTCTTTTTCTTAGATTGCTGGGAAGATGGCAGACACTCAGACGGAGTGTGCTTACCAAAAGCAGCCTACAATTTTTCAAGACAAGAAGCATGTTTTGCTGAGAGAAACCTGCAAGGAAAAACTCCCTCAGTACTACAAAAACATTGATCTAGGCTTCAAGGACCCAGGGAGGCCATCGAGGGCACCTACATAGACAAGAGATGCCACTTCATTAGTAATATCTCTATCCGAAGTTGAATCCTATGTGGTGTTGTGACCAAGATGCAGATACAGAGGACCACTGTCATCCGCTGGAACTATCTCCATTACATAGGGAAGTACAATCGCTTTGAGAAGTGCCACAAGAACATGTCTATGCACCTATCCCCCTGCTTCAGGGATGTACAGATCGGAGATTTTGTTCCCTTGAGAGAGTGCAGGCCCCTGAGCAAGACTGTGGGATTCAATGTGCTCAAGGTCACATGGTTGCTGGCAACAAGAAACAGTTTTATAAGTTCTGAGGGGACTGGCCTACTTCCTTAGAAGAAATAAAAGTTATCCAACGTCTTTAAAAACAAAAAGTTTTCTTTTTTCTTTTTAGAAATGTCACTTTAAAGTAATTTTAATGGCCAGGTGGTTGATGCATGTCTGTAATCCTAGCACTTGGGAGGCATAGGCAGGTGGCCTGGTCTATGAAGTGAATTCCAGGACAGCCAAGGCTACACAGAGAAATCCTGTCTTGAAAAAAAACAAACCAAAACAAAAAATTTAATTTTAGTATCCCAAGTTGTTCTTTCCCAGCCTTATAACTTGAGACAAATATTTAATACAAATTTAATAAAATTATTAAGTTACTATTATAATCAAGACAATTACTCAATAAATAATGCAGTGGTTAACAGCTATCAGCATGACTTGAAATGCTTGAATGGGTATGAACAGCAGGAGTCAAGCTACTCTTTGATTTGTCACTGGTTTTGTAGCCCATCTCCAAGGGCACCTTTGGAGAAGACAGCAAGCTACTATATTCAACCAGAGTGGCTTACTTGTTCAATGAAGAAACACTGTTTGGTTGACCTTGCTAACAAGGTCAGTGCCAGCGAAGAGCAAAATTTGTGAAAACCAGATGTGAGTAAATATTTTAACTTTATAAACTTTTTTACATATCGACTGCAAAAATATATTTAATCTTACAAATGACTTTGAAGGCCAACAACATGATGTACTATGAAAATTGAGAGGCTGTAGTGCTGTGCCCTGGAATGAACTTATAACTGTTTCTGGAACACCTATGCAGTCCATCCAGATGAAGTACCCCAAAGGGATCAACAGCCTTGGAACCAAACATAAGACTATTTCCAGTTTTTATCTGATATACTGTTTTGAGAAAAGAGTCTTAACATTTAATGTCTAAAAGCTAGAATAAACTCATACCTGGTAAAGTAAGGCAGATGAGGCTGGCTATTAGTAATGTTATGCACATGAAGACAATCAGCAGAAATATCTGCAAGGCAAAATGGAAGGTTCACAAGTGATTTACATATTCTCAATGTATTCCGATAATGGTCACATAATCCACATAATACTCCCACTATGAAATCCTGCCATTGCACAAGATACATGCCTGTACTCCAGCACCAAGTAGAAAAAGAAAGATAGGATAGAGACGCCTGCACCTGTGCTTTCAGGGGAGGGACACAGTCTTCGGTAAATGTCCATTTTCACATGACCAGATAAACCCACAAGAAAGAAGCAAATACATTTATACTCAGCAAAATAAACTCACTAAAAATTAAGTATAACAAATTTAAAATATCCATCATTCTAAACTCAGTAGCAGTGCCTTTCAATTAGAATGTGTGATATGGTGAGAGACATCTAGTTCTACTCTGTCCAACAAAGCAGTCACTGACCACGTGGCTACTGTGCTCGTGACATGTGAATACTATAATGTAATAACTGTATTCTAAGTTTTATTTTCATTAATCTCAACTGTAAATAAATACATGTAGCCAGTGGCTTCTGTACTGGGAAGTACTAATGGAACACAGCACATGGGAAAGTGGAGACCCCTTTCCTGGGGTAAAAATCCACTGTACCTCACTTTCTACCTTTCCCAAGATCAGAGGGCAGAGTTCTTGATGAGAAAAATTACAGCTTTGCCTGCCTAAAGAGCCCTTAGTGATTCTGTTTCTGATGTGCTCCACCACCCCCATCCCTGGCAAGAGGGTCAATGACAAGAGAAAATAAAACAGGCCCTCAATATGAGGTCTGCTTTTAAGATTCGCACACAAACTGAAGAAAGACCTTCTTGTTTCCTTCATCATTATAAGCAACATTTTCTAGAATAAGCTGAGTAAGAACAGATGTGTTTCTCAATGGGGCAAGAAGCACAAAACTGTGTGCACCAACTAGTGTATCCATGATGTACAAGGCTCTCTACTTGGCTGCTGCATACCTGAGAGTCCTGTGTGCCGCTGCTTCCCTGCCCTTGCCTTCTCCTCTACACATAGCACATCCTCTAAGTACATTTAGTTACCCACAATTACCATGTCCAATGTGTCCTTTCCTGGCATATGCCTGGAATGCCCTTCCTACTTTCCATTTTAATCTGCTTTTCCTCACAGCATTAAAGACAGGTTATTTATCACCTCCTCCATGACAATTTCCATGCACTTGTACTAGAAACCAGTGTTCCCCACCCCAAAGCAGTCACAGCACCCTCAGTAAACATCTTCTTTGAGAACCCAAACTACTGTTTGGTTTTGTTTTTTAATCTCCCAAAGTAGTCTGAAAAGAGTTTCAGGGCAAGGACTGCATGCATGATCTCTATAGCCCTCACACTCATCAAAAATATCATAGACACTTGAGGCATATTTACACAATGACTCCATATGACACAAAGGTAATACAAAAGATAATATCTATTTTTACAGAAAAGGAACTAAGAACTAGAGATTTAAATAATCTATTAAAGTTCCAAAGTGATCAGACTCACAACCTTAAACCATTATAAACAAGAGATCTGAAACCTAACAAATGGCATACAAACAGTACTAGCTATCAGAATAAATTTTTGACAAGAGTTTGAATCACAGACTGGCTGCTAGCTTCAAGACGATGGAACAGGCTTATCTTTAACCAAGCTGGTCTTCAGTTTCATTAGCTATTAACAGTAAATGGCCACCTACATCTGGCATATGCCAGGTCCTTAAAGACGCACTGGACACAGTAAGCTAGAACTGGAGATAACTGAATATATTTAGGAGATGCCATATGCAGAGGAAAGGTGAGGGCCAAGGGAACCTGTGACGACAGTCAACACTCTGGGATGGGCAGGAGCCAGAGTGGAGAGCCTTGAAGGCATATGTGCACTACTCCATCCTCACCGTACTATACTTTTTGCGTCTTTGCCTTACAGAAACACACTTCTGTTCTGATCAATTGCTGTGAGTGGGCATGAAATCAGCAAACAATAACATGGCATTATAGTTCCTGACATACGCTGAAACATTATCCATCATGCTAGCTTCTAATTTACAAGCTTTTTTTCTCAAACAAAAACTAAAGTCAAAGGAATCCTAACCTCACATACTGCCCATTTCCAAAATCTATTAACCTTATTTTGAATATGTATGCCCAAGAGTAATAAAACAGGTTTCTTTCCAGGAACCATAATCATAGCTACACAGCACTATGTATTAATAGCACTAAATAACAGCACTAATTCTCATTTAGTAAAAGAAAAAAAATAATTTACAGAAACATCAGTCTGTATGAACTCACCCTGAGTGGGAAATTTAAAGGCCGGCGGTAAGGCTGAAAGCCGACAGGGCCTCCCTGCTGCAGTATGGCTTGGTGGGCTGCATGCAGGCCCTCCCCAGCAGGAACAGCGTTGTTGTTGCGCGCAGGCTGGTTATTGTTGACCTGCTGGTTTGCACTGTTCTCATTTTCTTCCTGGTCTCCCAGTAAGTAAGAATGAAGGTCCCTACACAGAAGTTACAGCAGTGAGTCTCATTTCAGAGTGACAATGACAAAGTATGTCATTTTCTTAAAGGGTAGAAAATATGTGGATTCTATCTCAAGCATTGCTCCTGCTGCCTGGACTAAATGCTAGTGTTTGCTTCAAATAAAACCCAACTCTGTTAGCTAGCTTGTGGGACACTCCAGAAATTGAGCATATTTTATGTTTGTTTACCTAACAACTGAGAAAATGTCAGTGATTTAGAGGAAAGCACAGAGTCTTCACAGAGTAAGAACATTTGTCGTCTCTCCTAATGTCTGCTGTGTCTCCTATGCAAGCTACAGATTTGTCTTCTCTCCTAATGTCTGCTGTGTGTCCTATGCAAGCTACAGATCAGTTCAGACAAGAGTAGCACTAAGGAGAAGGGAGGTGTTCAAGTCTGCATCCCACAGTAATGTACCACAGTGTGCCAAATATTTCAGAACCTTCCATATCTCATAGACTTAAATCAATGCAGCTCAATAAATACAAATGTCTCTGGAGGTTAATTCTTATCATTAACCTGACAAGAACTAGAGTCATAGGGCTGGCCAGTTTTATATCAATGTGACACAGGCTACAGTCACCTGGGAAGAGAGAATGACAATTAAGATCAAGGACCATGCATGAAGATAACCTAGAACCCCTGTAGAGATGTAGCCCATGGCAGCTCAGTCTCCAAGTGGGTTCCCTAGTAATAGGAACAGGGACTGTCTTTGACATGAATTCAGTGGCTGGTTCTTTGATCACTCCCCCTGAGGAGGGAGCAGCATTACCAGGCCACAGAGGAGACAATACAGCCAATCCTGATGACACCTGATATGCTAGGGTCAGAAGGACAGGGAGGAGGACCTCCTCTATCAGTGGACTGGGGGAGGGGCATAGGAAGAGATGATGAAGGGAGAGTGGGATTGGGAAGAGATGAGGGAGGGGGCTATAGCTGGGATTCAAAGTAAACAAACTGTAATCAGTTAAAAATAAATTAAAAAAATAAAAAGAAAGAATATGCCCTGTGGCCTGACCTGTGGGCAAGCCTACAGTGCATTTTCTTAATTAGTAGTTAATGTAGGAGGGCCCGTCTCACAGAGGGTGAGTGGCACCCCTGGGGTGGGTAGCCGGGAATAGATTATAAAAAACTGGATGACATGACCACAAGGACCAAGCCAGTAAACAGCTTTCCTTTATGGTCTCTGCATCACTTCCTATCTACAAGTTCCTGCATTGAGTTCTTGCCCTAACTCCCCTCATTGATAGGCTGTTACCTGAAGGTATAAGATGAAATAAGCCATTTCCTTCCCAAGCTGCTTTTAGTCATGGTGTTTTATTATAGCAATGGGAACCCTAACTAAGACAGAAACGTAGGAGACAGGCCTCTGGAATGCCAGTGAAGGAATATGTACATTAGGCCAAGGTGAGAAGACCCATCCTAAAAGTGGGTGACAGACTCCCCCTGCATGCCAGGGATCCTATACAGAGTAAACTGGGTAAGTGAGTTGTATACCAGCATCTCCTCTCTCTGCTTCCTGAATGTAAATTTAATGTGAACAGAAGCCTCAAGCTCCTGATGCAAAGAATTCCCCACCACAAAATAAGGCAAAATAAACACTTCCTTAAGCTGCTTCACAGCAACACAAAAAGTTAACTAAGTAACAAACAATATATCAACCCTCAGGACAGTTTCTTTACCTGGTTAAAACCCCTAAGAAAAAGGTATGTTAGTCTGTCTTTAAGTGCACTGCGTTTTTAACTTTTAGGTTAATGTGTATAGGCACTATAGCATTCCCACGTAAGCACACCATGGAGTCACTCCAATCCCCTTTACTTGCCACATCTAGCAGCACAAGGGGAGGAGCAGCAGTGAGCCTGCACAAGAGGGGATAGGTGCACATACCATCTTTGAAAGGGGAACCTGCAGACAGTTCTCAACCATTTATTAAAACTAGGGTTTTCTAAAAGTTATTTATTCGTGTACATGTTTGTATCTGTATGCCACACATATGTTGTAGGTGCCCAGAACCAGAAAAGGTGTCATATCACCTAATTGGACTCACAGACCATTGTGAATCGTCTGACATTAGTGCTGGGAAATGAAGTAAGTACTCTGGGAAGAGCAAGCACTTTTACTGCTGAGCCACCTCTCCAACCTCTAAAACTAGGTTTTGCTGAGTAGAACACAGAATGCACTTCCTTCAGGAAGGTTATATAACAAGATGGGCCATAATGGCACATGCCTGTATGCTCACCACTAAAAAGACCAGGGCATAAGGACGCTAGGATTGAGGACAGCTTGGGTAAGACTGTATCTCAAAAATTAAAAATAAAATATGGGGCTGGAGTTGTAACTCAGTGGTATGGCATTTGTACCATGTGCATGAGCCCCTGACTTCAGTGCCCACAATCAGAAAAAGGGAAAAAGAAAGGTTACAGTATAAACACAGACAACACTGATGCCCAGAGGCAGCTGCCATACTCACAGCAAGTATCCAGCAGTAACAGTCCATGCACGCACTAGCCCCTTCAGCCACTGCCTCGTGTGTCCCTGTTCCAGCAAAGCTGGCAAGACAACCTGCAGCAGGAGCAGCTCAAGGGACAGTTCACTCACCGGGGCATCACTACAATAGTTACAAAGAGGCAAGTTTATGAGTCCTATTTTCATTGTAACTTATAAAACATCTAATCAGATTAAACAAATCTCCGAAGAAAAATGAACTTGTCTTTACTGCCTTTTCTCCCATTCTCTCTCCAAGTCATTGAAGCTATCCTCCTAAGCCCCATGGAAACTTGTTCCTGATCCCTTGGTGTCCACCAATGGCCATGCCTTGGTGCTCACTTGCACTGTGAGAGCAGGGTGTTACAGAGCTGCCTACCCTTCCAACAGCTGCCTTCCCTTTGCCTCTCCAGTCTAGAAACACAAGGGCCCAGTTTCATCCTCTTTCTCAGCTAAGCTTATTCTTTGTGTGATTGTGACTCATCTGGCTTGAATACTACCTTCACCTACTACTGACATTTCTTCTCTAACTCCAAACTTGTGTATCCACAGTGGAACTCAGTGCTTCACACTTGATGTGCACTATTCCACTTACAACCAAGTATCCACCAAACTATTAATCCTGCTCTTCCCACTCTCACATACACCTCAACAACATGTAACTCTATATTATCCCAGGCTAAGAACGGACTTTTTGATTTCCTGACTTCGTTATAGCTCACATCCAAACCACTAGACTCCTTTTGACTCTTAACAATATTATCAATCCTTACTGCTTCTTAGCTTCCATTGCTACCTCCTTCATCTATACCCCTTCCATCTCCAGTAAGATCATCATACTATCTTCCTGACTAACCTCCTGCTTCTAACTTGACAGCTCTCACTCTATCTCTGATCACTAAGGAGCCACAGTGATCCTTATACCCTTCTACAGCTATCTAACTCTCTTCTAGAGTTATCTAACTCTCTTGACTAAAAGTCAAAGTGCCTATTACAGTCTACAAAGAGGGGGATTTCAATGACTTCTCTGATTTCACAGCCAACTACTTTGCTTTTTCCTGCTTCTTAGCCAAAGTATTCTGTGCCCTCCTGATCCACAAGGTTCAGTGTGGATCAGGAGCTGGATTTCCCCAGCTCCTTTCAGGGCTTTCCTTAACTGTCACCTCAGTCTTCATCAGTTACTCCTTCTAAATCAAAACCCCATCCTGGACAATCTATTCTTTTCACTCCTTTCTTTTTTCTAGACCAGTAATGATTATTACGCATATATATTTTATCTATATTAAAGTCCGTTTCCTTGCCCATAAATGTAACCTTTACTATGGAGGAATTACTGACAACTTTTTAACAGAGGAATATACAATGAACTTTCAGAAACTCTAGAGACAGCAGAAAAAAAAGTAGGATCTAAATGTAGAGTAAGGGGAAATGTAAACTAAGTTACTGAGTGGTAAATGAGCTGGCTTGGTATAAAATCTGAAGGACCAGACCTGACAAGACAGAAATAAATTTGAGGAAGCAATCTCATAGCTTGAGGTAAATTATGGGGTAATAAAGTCACTGAAAACTTTAAACCCAAAAAGGATCAGTCTTACTTTTAGTACACAGTTAAAGGTGTACACACCAAAAAAAGTCAATGCTACTAATTGTTTGGTTTACAAAAAAAACCTTCCTAAACAAATGTAATAATAAGTCATCCTTTGAAAATGATGTAACTACTGAGGCAAGTAGTAGAGGTGCACACCTTCAATTCCAGGACTTGGAAGGCAGAAGCAGGTAGATCTCTGGGTTTGAGGACAGCCTTGTCAACAGAGTGAGTTCCAACACAGCCAGGGTACACAGAGAAACCCTGTCTTGGGGAGGGTGTATGACTACTAACACATTATGTGAATGAGAGTATGGCAAAATGGAACTATCACATAAACTGTTTAATATAATTTGATTAAGTCACAACAGTGATAACTCAGTATAGCTTTTCTAAGTTTTCAAACTTATCTATAGGGTTGGCCATGCTGCTCAGTGGTATGGTACTTGCTTAGCAATCCCCAAGCAACCAAAACAATAACAAAAAAATCCTTACCTGTAGAGCATGACATTGTAGGGGAGAAAATTAGGCAAAAGACTCTTAATTATACGTATAGGAAGCCAGAGCATCAGAAGCACAATGGAGCCAAACACAATCTGTAATAAGACACAGGGCACAACTATACTGTGAATCTGGCAAACTATTTGGTATCTTCTACAGGCTTACGCAAATACAGTAAGTATGCTCTCCCAGCCCTCCCAATCTAAAAGAATACAAAAACCAAACAACAACAACAAAAAACAATATATGAAACTAAAAGATGTCATTCTTTGGTTTTTTTCTTTCTTTTTTTTTGAGATAGGGTTTTCTTTGTGTAACCCCGGCTGTCCTAGATCGCTTTGTAGATCAGGCTGGCCTCGAACTCACAGAGATCCGCCTGTCTCTGCCTCCCCAAGTGCTGGGCTTTGATTTTTTTTTTTTTTTTTTTTTTAAATGAAAAGACCTGCTCACCACTGACAAAATAAATCTTCGGAGATGTCTATAGATGGGCAAGTGGATCATTTCCTGTACTGGATTAAAATCTGGATCATTCAAATTCCTTAGAAACCATAAGACACCAGGCCGAAGTACCTGCAAAAATATTTCAAGTATGATACATACTCATTAACATCTTTAGGCTGTGCATATGAAAATAAACAGAAAAATAAGGCCCAAGTTATTCTGGCACTAAAATCCAACCAAGGCAATTCACAACTGTCATAGAAAAACAAGTTCCTTAGACAGAGATTCTGTCAAACTACTGTACTTTTAATGACCTTTGATGCTTTTAACTGTAAACTGGAAAACAGTCACTGAGAACAATTTATCAAGAAATCTGGATTGATGTGGTAAAAACATACAAACATTACTATACATTATATGATTTAGGGGAAGGATTCAGATTCACCCCTACGATCCTCAAATCTTTCCCTTATTAAAGCACAAATAATATTCGGTTTCTGTGATTTTACATTCCATTCCCACTGGCTTTGTTAACTTTGCTATCACTAGTATCAGCACATTAAGCTAATTTGTTCAAAGGATTTATTCATTCCTAGGAATGGAGGAGAATAGAATTGTGCCTCTGTATCTCAGTATTACCCCAGCATACAGCATAGAATCTGGAGCTAGATGCACATTAAGCAAATACTAATTTTTTCTCATTTTTAAGCCAGTTAGAACAGGATCTGTGAAGGTATCTGACAAGTGACCTGGGATCATAAAGAATCCTCACTGTTACTCTGTATTTCAGGTGTCCCTATATACTTCAATATTTTCAATTCTATAAAACCCTTTTTGGAGATGAAGTCTAAGAACAATTTATTATCACAACCACTTTAAGGAGTTTACAACATAGGCTAAGTATGATGTGCATCAAATAAGAACTTTGATTTTTAATTAGCCTTGATCATTTTTAAAACTGTAAATTCTTATTTTTTGACATAAACATTGATTTAAAGTAATCAAACCAAAGTCTATTATTAGTTATTCTCTCTTAGAATAGTAAAGAATATGGTTTAATTAGGAAAACATACTAGCCTTTGAGGGATGACTGGTGGTCAAAGCAAAACCCTTCTCAAAAACACAGAGCATCAGTAGTTCCCTATAAGACCTACCTCTCTTAGTAACAGGATGAAGGAGGCAAAGTAAAACACATACACCATTCCCACCAGCCAGTGCAGAAACATCGTAGTCCCTGGAGCCGACTGAAAGCTCAGTTCTCGATCTTTCAGAGTAGCATCAAACATTTCCTAGGCCAAAACAGAACAGGTCAGAGATCTGTGCCACCTACATTTACAGTGCTTGGTACTTCCGCCACTAAGAAGTCAGATCACCAAATGTACATAATGTCAATGTTTTTGGCTTTTGGTTCTCTTAATGCCGGTTCATACTGCTACAGAACTATGTAAGAATATATAACACTTTAAAATTCTGAAGCAAGGACAGGCAAGGTGACTAAACCTGAGTTTGATCGCGGAATTAACATGACAGAGAGAACAGACTCCTGCAAATTGTCCTCCCAGCATCACATGTGCAAATAGTCAAAATAAATAATGCAATTAAAATCATGAAGCATAAATAATTAATTTTAATAGTTTGTTTCTTTTCTTTTTCTGTGATGGGGTCTCATGTATCTCAGGCCAGACAAGAAATTGCTATGCAGCTGAAGAGAAAATGGAAGTCTGACCTTCCAGGCTTTGCCTCATCAGCACTACAATTTCAGACACATGCTATCACACTTAGTTCATCTGGTACTGGGAACCAGGAATTCACGCACCCTACATAAGCATTCTACCAACTGACCTATGCTCTCAGCCTTTGCTATTAAAAACTATTCTTTAACTATATAAGATCTTGAGCCGAGCACAGTGGCACACACCTTTAATCCCAGCACTTGGGAAGGCAGAGGCAGATGGATCTCTTAGAGTTCAAGGCCAGTCTGCTCTACAAAGTGAGTTCAGGACAGCCAAAGCTACACAGAGAACCCTGTCTCAGAGAGAGAGAGAGAGAGAGAGAGAGAGAGAAAAATCTTGATTTCTTAGCTACAGGCCTGCATTCACAAAGGTTTTAAATAATAAAGAATAAGAGCAAATGTCAATCTCAGAACCAAAAGCAGCTTTTCTATATATATTTTAAAAAATCAAAACTGAGAACTATTAAAATTTAGTATCATAGTTTTAAAAGCTGGACACCATTACTATAAAATTTAGGAGGAAAAAGGGAGTAACAAAATTCTCCAATAAAAGTTCCAGTCAAAATACACTGACATTCAAATACATATAAAACATCAAAAAATTAATACTTAAAACAAATTTATTATTTAAAATTACAGTCGACAGTGTTATAGCCCAAGAATAAGCAAGTCATCAAATACTTTCCTTTAAGAGGAATGTTTTCTAAAGACGTTTTGAGACTTTGAAATGAGATCATATGACAGTGGGTACTCAACTTACCAGAGAACAAATATCCAGCCACCAGCCACAAATGAGAGGAAACACTCCAATTTCTACCACAACTAACAAAGAGACCTTAATTAAATAAAAAACAAAGTTCATCAGTACCAATCAGATAGAGGACAAACCACTCAGCTTTAATTTACAACTGATTACCTTAACCACAATATAGCAGACTCCCAGCAAACGACGAGACCTATGAAATTTAACAAGCGTAGCCAAGGCCTGAAGCATTTAGTCAAGGAAAAATTGGACAGGAAACTGTTCATATTATACTGAATATATTTCAAATCTGGCTCACACTCATTCCTTCACAAACACTAATTTTTATGAAGACATGGTAAGGTGGGGAATAAGAGGAACAGATCTTGTTATTAGTGAGAACTCTTTGGTATAAATGAAATTGTACCTCCATGCTGGTTTATTAAAGGATACATGACAAATTATCAGTGTTATTGCTAAAAGTATATATCCAACAATTGTTGTGATGAGACCTTCAAAATGAGATGCTTGGACCTAAAAATAAAACAAATGAATAAAATAAAACTTTCACATATGGTTTTTCAGTATACTAAGTGATCTGAATACCAGAAAGTAAACTGTGTTTTGTTTTAGTTTTTCAAGATAATGTTTCTCTGTGGAGCCCTGGCCACCCTAGAACTCTCCCTGTTAATCAGACTGGCTTCAAACTCACAAGAGATCCGCCTGCCTCTGCCTCCCAAGTGCTGGGATTAAAGGTGTATACCACCACTGCCCAGCACAATAGAAATTAAACTATTGATTCAACATATTTATAATTTAAAAACTGAAATATCCTTTATATAGCATCTACAAACCAGGCTCTCTGATATATAGACTACTTAATATTACTGAAGATTGAAGAAATATTAAATAACATTTTATCCAATGAGTCAAAATAACAGAGTGAATGAAATTTCCCAACAAGATGGCAATCTTTATTTTAAAGATTTATTTATTTATACATATGAGTACTATAATTGCATCAGATCCCATTATAGGTGCTTGTCAGCCACAATGTGGTTGCTGGGAGTTGAACTCAGGACCTCTGGAAGAGCAGACGGTGCTCTTAAGCACTGAGCCATCTCTCCAGCTCCCAAGATGGCAATCTTAACGGCCATCCCTTAATCTAACAAAGGTGAAATTTGCTAAGGGCTGAGCACTAAAGCAGCAGCATATTGCCCAAGTTGCCCACCCACCTGGTAGCATCCTGACCACATCATCTCATACCGGTATAAATAACTGTTTAAGTTCCTCCGACTTGCCAAAATCATTCTAGAGACTTTCAGAAAGAAAAGGTTCAGAGAATGAAAAATATTTTTGATTCATATCTTTTCAGTTCCTGAATTATGAGAAAGTAGCAACAGTTGAGAAAGGTAATGTCTGCTGCAACCATTTATCTCAGGCTTCTTTCTTACCTGCAACTGCTAAGAGGTGTCAGAGCAGTCAATAGTAGTGAATGGAACATTCCCAAATGTGATCTCAGGGAACAAAAGAGCCCAGTCAGCAATTCCTTAGAAATCTCCACAGAGCCCATAAAGGTAGTGATACACCATGGCTCTTCGGGACCTCCGGCTGCGGTAGTCCCTTCTTAATACAAAGATGCCTTTGTTTCTGGACAAAGCCATCACCATATAACTGCTATCAGAATCAGACATTCACATTAACACTCTTCACTGCTAAGAAGCTGGGGGACACCAGGTTATTGGAGTGTTTTTCTACATTGTATTTTAGGAAAAAAAAAAAAAATTAATCTATCCATCGAGGTCAGCCTCATCTACAAAGCAAGTTCCAGGGCAGCCAGAGCTACACACAAAGAAACCCTGTCTCGAAACCCCCACCCTCAGAAACGTCTATCCAAATACTTATACACTGTTAGGAATTGACAAAATGTAAAATATAAGCAAATTCTTGAGCAAACATTATAGTCCATTTCTCCAAGATAGTCTTCTATTCCCTTTTTTTAAATTGATAAATATACTGATACTTTTCAAAATTCACTATGGTTGATCTGGGTAAAGGGAGAGAGGGGCACATGCAAGCTCATCAAACAAGGGAAAAAGGGAAAAGCAGCCTGAAGGAAACTCTCTTGCAATGTGCCTCATGCCTACAATACTGTGAGGCTCTGTAGCACACCTGTAATGACTAGTGCTGTGACATAATACTTCCTGAGAACTGTTTAGCTTTAAACAAAAAGAACAAGACCATGCTGGCTAATTGTTCCTTTGCATAAGGTACACTGAGAAATGAATTCTTGAAAATATTCCTTAGGGGTTGGAGAGATGGCTCAGCAGTTCAGAACACTGGCTTCTTTACCAGAGGACCCAGGTTCAATTCCCATCCCACAACTGTCTCTAACTCCAATTTCAGGTGATCTGACACCCTTACACAGACATACATGCAGGCAAAACACCAGTGCACATGAAATAAAAAAAAAAAATTAAAAAAAAAAAGAAAATATTCCTTAGTGGGCTGGAGACATGGCTCAGTAGTTAAGAGCATGGGTTGCTCTAGCAGAAACCTGGGCTCAATTCTCTATGATGGCTCACAACCATTCATAACCTCAGTTCTTCCAGAGCTCCAACGAGACTCATGTAGTGTACATATAAGACAGCAAAACATTTATACACATAAAATATTCTATAGAAAATAACAAACTTGGAGATAAGTAGCAAAAGTAAGTTTCTGAAAGTATTATACTCACATGCTCCTCAAACCCCAAACCAACAAGGGAGAAATGACCGATGTGGTAAGGACAAAATGCTGAAAGGGAGAAGAAAACTTATTAGAACAATGAGCACACGTAACATAATCTCCACTAAAGGAAGCAGGACTTCTTTGAGAAATGAAAATTCTAGGAGAAAAACCCAAACTGTTCCTGGGATGTTCTCTATAACCAGAGAATAGAACATCATGGTCTAATAGGACCCCATCAAAAGGACACAGGAACCACATGAAGAGGGTATCACTATCATTTTTAAAGCAATATGAGCATTAACAATTGAAAACAAACACCCAATGACCAAAATTTGATGGGAACACATACATCCCATAAGCTCTTAATACTCAAAGCTCAAAACAATAAACAAAAAAGGAAAAAAAAAAAAAACAGTAACAGAAATGTTTTTTGTCTGGGAAGTAGCCATCACACAAGTCCCTTACTTAGAACCAATTACTAAAATGACAGCCTTGGTCATGTCCAGTGTCTCCTGAGAACTACCCTCAGACTAACTGGACTGCTCCTACAAAAAGCTAGCTAAGAAGAATCTTTTTAAATGGCAGAATTTGAAAAATAAGTCACTGGGTAAAAGGATGATGGCCCACTAGTCACAGGATACTAAAATATCACTCCACAGATTTTGTGTGTGTGTGTGACAGGGTTTTTCTTTTTCTTTTAATTTAATTATTTTATTTTTATTAATTACAGTTTATTCACTTTGTATCCCAACTGTAGCCCCCTCCCCCATCCCCTTCCAATCCCACCCTCTCTCTTCTTCTCCAGTCCAATGATAGGAGAGGTCCTCCCCTTCCATCTGACCCTAGTCTATCAAGACTGGCTGCACAGTCTTCCTCTGTGGACTAGTAAGGCTGGCTGCTCCTGCCTCAGGTAGAGGTGATCAAAGAGCCAGCCCATGAGTTCATGTCAGAGATGGTCCCTGTTCCTATTATTGGGGAACTCTCTTGGACACTGAGCTACCACAGGCTACTTCTGTGCAGGGGGGCTCCAAGTTATCTCCATGCATGGTTCTTGTTTGGAGTATCAGTCTCACCAAAGACCCCAAGACAGGGTTTTTCTATGTAGCTGGCTATCCCAGAACTCACACTGTAGACCAGGCGTTGCCTCCTGAGTGCTAGGATTAAAGGCAGGTGACATTGCTGCCCCCCCACAGCTTACTTGGTGTAAAGAAAGAAATGAAAAGAATAATATCGCCTATCTCCTCCTATTAAAAGTCAAAACGTGCACCCAATAACCTTGTCACAGAGAACCTGACTGAATCAGGCCCTTTAATCTCACTTCTAATACAGAAAACATGGTAGACAGAGGATGAGGGCAGGGAACATCAGGAAAGCAGTTGTATGTGCATCAACACATCTAAGTCGTAACAGAGTGGAGTAGGAAGCAAAGAGAATATTTCAACTTCCCAGTAATGTGTACACATTACTTATTAGGATCGTTATTCAAACCAACCACAAAACAGCATTTAAGGGAACAACTTACAGATCATAAATATGGATTATTAGGAAACAATAAATGAATTCTAGTAAGTTTTAGATGTAAAGATGATACTATAGTTAAATCAGAAAATATAGTTAACTTTTTAAATTAAAATTTTTATTCTTTTCTTGAAGCCTTTTTAGTCAAATTTCAGGTTCTAAATAAATTATCTTTTTTCTATGGTTACAATAAACAGCATAATAGATAGATAGGGCACAAGAGGATTCTACCACTAAGTAAAACTCTGAGCATGTACAAGGTCTGGCTCTTAAATCTATATTATATGTTTCTTAATAACCCAAAAACCTGCAACAAGACTCCTAGACAGCCAAACAGACAGTAGGGATACCACAAAACTAGAAGCATAGGTACAACTTACCAAAAACAAGAATGAACAACGTATTTAAAGACACCACCCAGAACACGTGCTCCTATAGGAGAAAGCATTAGTGTCAATGGTATCTCATGTTTAATTAAACAACTTCATTCACTTGAAAATAACTATGACTGGAATTTTTAACCCTTTACTTCTCACCAGACAGCTCATGAAAATATGACTAAAACAGAAAATTCATTTTTCACTAGCAGAAAATAAATCAATTTATAAGTTTCCTTTACAAAACCAATAGTCCATCACAAATTATACAGATTTTTATAAATATTACCAGATTTCAAATGACAATGAAAAATTCCAAGTGGAGAAAAAAGGAAAGTCACACTTATTCTAATAACATATAACATCAAGTGCAGAATGCTTTTCCCATTACTCACTTCATTTTATGGACTTTAACAAGTCCACTGCCACTTACTATCCCCTCCCTCACCCTGGCAATTGCTAGATGAAATCTTCTCTGGTCTCTGGACTCTATGGTATACTCTATGGTATACTCTATGGTATACTGACCATACCATAGAGTCAGTTGTATACTGACTCTATGGTGTCTCAGAAACAATGTAACCATCTGGTCCACTTATAATTAGTATATTATTACCTCCAAGGCTAGTGCTATCCACTTGTCATGCACATTGTTAGCCACACTCTAGGCAGACACACTAAAGGGTCCAAGTTCAAATCATTTGGGCCCACCATGTTACCTAACATCAAGGCAAGTGAGCTTTTCAATGTGGGGTTAGATGAGATGGTCCAATTTCTTTTCAGAAAAAATCAATCTGCTTGGGTTCCCTAGTCAAAAAGCTGGTAAGTTGTCCAAAAAGAATGACTGACTCATTCTTACCATGGAAGCTCAATTTTTTTTTCAGTTTTCTGCCTTAAGGGCTCCTAAACTCTGCCTATCTCAACATCCTCTATGCTTAATCTCTTAACTTCTTGAAACATTTACCCATCACTTAAAGACATATCATCATTATCTCTTAAGTGTGTGTGTGTGTGTGTGTATGTGTGTGTCTATATGGGAGTATGTGCACAACAGTACACAAACATGGAGCCCCAAACTGTTAGTGTTGGATCCCCTGGAGCTGGAGGTACAGGCAGCTGAGGCAGCTGGCTTTGGAGCTGAGAACCAAACTCAGGTCCTTGGAAGCAGCAGTGTGTATTCTTAACTGATGAGCCATGTCTTCAGCCCCACCACTCTACTTCTAAGGGGTAGCTTCACTCCCAGGGTTGGAGGCATTTAACATGCAAGAACCAACTTTAAATATCAAGTTTTTTTAATTACTATTAACTCTGGACTATTTTTTTTTCAAATGTTTAGTAACTTTGTTTTTAAATAAGATCACCTTTAAATATTTTTAGTACTGTCAACATATAAAACATACTTTCAAATATGAAGTAATTAAAAGCCAAAGGATATTTTGACTTTTAGCATAAAGGGAGCATACTGAATGAATTTGAAGTTACTGAATAACAAGGACAAATAATTCTAACAACAATGACACTTCTACTTACCAGAAAAACTAGTGATCCATCAAGTCCAAGCATCTAAAATAAAAAAATAAACAAGCCTTAACTTAAGATGTAGTAGGACTTTTTCTTATAGAAAGATTGCTTATTTATCATATCATTAAACACAGTTTATTCTCTAAGCCTATAATTCCTAGAATGTTTGGGGAAGAAAAATCTGTCTGCTTTTACCATATTCATATGGAAAATATCATCTAGAAATGTTCCATCTTGAGCAGGCAGAAAAATCTGTCTGCTTTTACCATATTCATATGGAAAATATCATCTAGAAATGTTCCATCTTGAGCAGGCAGGGGTGTATGCCTATGCTGCTAACATTACTAAGGCAGCTACTGTGACAGAGAGTGGGCCTGTGTCAAAGAGCAGGCAGGTGGAACTCAGTGAAGGAGTCCTCACCTAGCACGCCCAAGGCCAAGGGTCTGTATGCCCACCACTGCAAAAAGAAAAATGCCCATTCTAAGTTTTGTTCTTACATTAACTAGAACTAGTCATGCAGTCTCTACACAATTACTTTAATTTCATCAATTTGAGTATGGAAATCATGTTTAAACTTAAGTTTTACTTAATTTTTCACAAGTCCACAACCTCAAGTCAAACTGCCTCCATGGAGCGAGGTTTATATTAAAGGCAGAAAAACAGAACTATCTGTCATCATCTTTACCACAACTTGTACATCACTTGATTTTCAATAAAAATTAATTCTAGTAACTGTTTTCATCATTTAACATAAATTTCATATAACTATGAAATTTGTATTTTATAACTAAATACACCAAACTTCAAAATACACCTTAGGGTTAGAACAAAAGGACAGGTGACAGTGAAAATTCTTACTCTTTCCCAAGTAAGCTCCTCTGCAGCCCGGTCCCATTCTAAAGCATTCCAGTTCATGTCGTCTGAAAATATTAAGTGCAGATTCAAGATTACTCAGATATTAAACTATAACCAATAAAAGCTCAATTTTTTAATTGTAGCCTGCTGAGAGGCTGAGCCACATTTAAAGTTTTATCAGACATAAATTACTAGGTTGTAAATCCTACATATAAATACATGCTTCTAAATAAGTAGTAACATGTAAAAAAATAATCCTAGACTGTGGTACATCCTGTAAAGAAAATAAATGAGATTACATGAAAAACAAATCTAATAGCTATGGGTCAGAAATGAATCTGGTAGATTTGAGTAAAAGAAGGAAGCCAAGGGGTTAAACTTTCTAATGAATTAGTAAGTTAACAAAAGGTAAAAGTATGAAACTCACTGAGTGTGGTGGCACACGCCTTTAATCCCAGCACTCGGGGAGGCAGAGGCAAGTGGATCTCTGTGAGTTCGAGGCCAACCTGGCCTACAAAGTAAGTCCAGGACAGCCAAGGCTACACAAAGAAACTCTGTCACAAAACAAAACAAAACAAACAAACAAACAAACAAACAAAAACCAAAAAAGTATAAAATTCAGAGGCCAGTTAGTGGCTAAGAATTCAGACTGTTCTAATGAGCCCAAGCTTAGTGCCTAGCATACTTCCAGCACCACTCATATCAGCTGGCTCAAAACCACCAGAAACTCCAGCTCTAGAGGATCACCCTCTTCTGGCCTCCATGAGAACTAAACAAACAAACACAAATCCACACAGATATACACATACACATACACATGCAATTAGAAATAAATATATACAAAATGTAAGATCTGGATCAGGTGCTACAAAGCCTGTGATTCTATGTTCAGGAGGATGAGGCAGATGAACTGCAAGTTCTAGGCCAGGGAGAAAAAAAAGAAGAAAAAAAGAAAAGAAAAAAGTATGAATGGCAGACAAGGATTAAAGAGCAAAACAAAAAGGAGTGCTTGTTATGGGCTATGCTTTATTCTTCAGTGCGCTGGGGAAAGTAGCTCATTACTTAAATAAAAACAGAAGAGCACCATGAACATCAGATGGGGCAAGAACAGGAAATGGAAAAGAGCTAGTGAAGAGACAGCAGGTACTGCCAAGTACCAGAACAGCAGCAGCAGCAGACACTGTTTCCTCAGAGTCTCTGATCTTTCCCTGGGGAAGCCTACTGCTTCTCATTATGAATTTTGTTTCTTATCTTTCAGGTCTCAGCTCAAAAGTTACTTACTCTGAGCTTCCTGGAAAACCTTAGTTAAAACAAGTATTGTCAGACAGGCAGTGATAGCACATACCTTTAGTTCCAGCACTCAGGAGATGGAGGCAGGTGGATCTCCGTGGTTTCAAGGCCAGCCTGATCTACAGGGGTTCCAGGACAGCCAGGGCTACAAAGAGAAACCCTCTATCAAAAAAACAAAAAAGGTATGTTGAGAGCAATCCATACACATTTAACACAGTGTGTAGCTCCTCTTTCTTCCCTAGACTAGACGTCCAAGGGAGGCAGGGCCTGCCATTTCATTCACAGCTGTGTACATGGTCTCAAGTATCTGGCTCCATCAATACAGACACTAGCAAAGTGGACTCAATGATAATAGAAGAGGATAGGCAATGAGCCCTGACAACTGAATGTAGCTAGTGGTCTCACTTTACACTCAGAGTTTCCATTGATAGAACATGAAAAATGGTTTCCAGAGGCGGTGTCTGGCCTGCAGTGTACAATTTACTTCTTTTTTCATTTGAAAAGTGCAGTAACTCCATGGTAGCGGAAAAAGAAAAACCACCAGGTAATTCTATACCAAGTTCATTCCTCAAAATGTTGACCTAGTTACACTTAATTATCTTTTTATCAACCATCTAATTTGAAGGAAGGAAGAGAGGGAGGAAGGGAGGAAGGGAGGAAGGGAGGAAGAGAGGAAGGGAGGAAGTTAGTTCAGTCACTTGGTCCTGTGTAAAGGATTGTAATACACATGCTCCCTGTTTCATAGAAAGCATACTTATACATGTGTATATTCATAAATGATAGCATGTCAAAATAGAAATAGGTCATACATAGAACTTTAACACATCATAAAACATGAAAACACTTCCCTTTGTCGTCAGTGCCAGCTAAAAATGACTGGCAGGCCTGAAGAATGAACAAGGGCACAGAGCAGCCATTACCTTGGGCCCCATTGTTGGCATCAGCAACATCTTCCACACCTGCATCATCTTCCTCCTCATTGTCTTCCTCTTCCTCTTCTGCTTGACCATCCTGGGCATCAGGGTTCTCGCCCAGAACTGCATTCTCACCTGCTGGGTTAGCTGGTTGATCAGCAGCAGCGTTTTCTGCACCATTTCCTCCTACAGGAGCCTAAAAATGAGAGAAAAACCCAGAAATTCATCTACTTGGCTCAGTTTTACTCTAGTTCCAAATCATATGTTACCCTGCAAGAAAAACAAAACCAGCAAAAAAGACAACTCTACCAAAATTTAAAAAGGAGTATCTCTCTGAGTCATCTGAGTCATCTCTTTCAAATGTATCTCATGTAGGACCAACTCAGTACATAAGAACATTGACTCATTTTAATGTACACATTTCAGAAAGGACTATAGGGCTGGGGAAGTGGTTTTTGTGGACAAAGTACTTGCCACATACGTGTGAGGTCCTGATGTTGGATTCCGAGGACCCATAAAAAGCTGAGCACAGTACTGTATCTGTAATACTATGTCCAATATGGAGAAGAGAAGTACAGGCAGAAGAACCCATGCAAGCTCATGGACCAGCTAGCAGATAACTTAAGACCCTGTCTCCAATAAGGTAGAAGCTAAGGACATTTACCAAAGGTTGTCCTCTGACATTCACATGCACACCATGGCACACGCACAACTACACTTATACATGTGAACATGGGTACACATATAAGGAAAAAAAAATGCAGTATAAAATATGAGCTTATAAATCAGGCTATCTGGGCCGGAGAGATGGCTCAGCCATTAAAGGCTAGGCTCACAACCATAAATATAAATCTGGCTGTCCTAAAAACATTCCATAATCTTTTGTAAATATGATAAGTATGTCTAACTCCCTTAGAGATAAAAAAGTTTTTAAAAAACTGTACGTGTATTAGCTGGCAGTGGTGGTGCACACCTTCGATGCCAGCACTCGGGAGGCAGAGGCAGAAGATCTTTCTGAGTTCGAGTCCAGCCTGGTGGTCTACAGAGTGACTTCCAGGACAGCCAAGACTATACAAAGAAACCTGTCTCAGAAAAGTAAGAAAGAAAGGAAAGAGGGAGGGAGAAAGAGAGAGAGGGAAGAAAGAATGGGAAAAACCGTGCACAATTCTCTTTTTTTTTTTTTTTTCAATTTAATTTTGTGTGTTGTGTGTGCATATGCCCATGTACACAGATCTAAACATACTCCACGTGTGAAGATGACAGGACAACTTTTTTCTGTCCACTATGATTTCTGGGGAATCCAAACTAAGGTTATCAGGCTTGGGTGGCAAGCATGTTTACTGAGCTATCTGACTGTCCCAAGTTTCCTACTTTTGAAAAGGTTCTTCCTACACAGCAGAAAAGACAAGACATTTCACATAAAGAAAAGGCTAGGATAGGTAGACAACAGTCCTAAAGCTGTGCAGCATGTCAACAACCTATCTAGGAAGTTGTTTCTCATGCATGCCTGTGTGCATGAATGCGCACCTGCCCTGACAAAGGGTCTCTCTATTATGTAACCCTGGCTGTCTTGGAACTCCCTAGCTACTCATGCCTCTGCCTCCTATGCGTGGCTACCACTCAGCCACATAAAGAGAGAGTTGCCCAAGTTAAGCTACTGACCCAAGCAAAGAAAATGGAAGAGTATTTTAGTATACCCTCTAACACTGTTCCCAATCTAGCAAGAACATTAAGAGACAGTCACAGAAGCATTCTTTTTCACTTCCTCAGTCCTTTATCCCCCAACTTTCCCACTGTCCTCTTCTATGACATGAGCACATTTTATAAAGCACATCAAAGTCAAGGATATGGATCATAGAGGGTGAAGATGACTTTCATGTACTACACGTGGAAAATTCATTTAAGGTGATGGGCTTGCCTCATTTTGGTGGTGTCCAGCAGCATTGAAGGGTGGAGCAGCATGCTCAAGCCAAATTGGTGCTCCCCCATGGACTATCTGCTCTCGTAACCACACCAGGCTGATGAATGCACAAAGTGTGCATGTCACCACAAAACAGCCCTGCAAGCAATCTGCCAACAAGTTTTCCCTATTAAAAAAATAATAAAAATTAGACACAACTAACGCCAAACAACATTTGTAAAAACAACTAGAAAAATAAATCTTATTTTTTTCAGTAAAATACAGTTGCTTCAAAAGGATTATTTATTAATGTTGAAATTCTATCTTGTAAGCTAACTAATACATACATTTATATATCCATATTATATTATTATATAATTATATTAGATAGATATAAAATACATCAGAAGATACAGCTATTAACCTTCCAGCCTATTCTTTTAGCATGGCCAAGAAACAGCAGTATAAGGGGAAAACAAATTCAGGAAAACACTCAACAAAACCAAGTAATGCTGTAACCAACAAATTCTGTAAAATTTACTGAATTCAGGTGAACAATGGTGCTTGATTCTTGTAACAGAGATTTAAAGTTTAGCAAACATGGAAGAACATACATGAAGACACTCATCAATGAGAAAGGTGGGAGCTCCCTAGTAACTAATCTAATAGCATAAAGGAAAAGGCTGAAAGACATTCAGCACACTGTGGATCAGATGAAGGAACTCACAATACATGATACAGAAACTCTTCACATAGCAAATCTAGTTTTAATGCCAGCTGCAAAAATATCAAAAATTAAATCCAAATACATAGAAATGTGGGACTTGTAACACTTGGGAGCCTTTGTTTCTTCTTTCCTGAAGAAACTCATCCTTCACTATCAATGTCTGATTTCAGAATAATTTGAGAATAATTCAAAAATACTGATGGACTTTAGAAAATTGCCTACTTGTCTTGTCTATTTAGGAAAGGTCTGAGAGACCTCGGCCCACAGCTCCACACTTCAGCTGCCACTGCCCCTAAGAAGGTCCTGTCTGCAGTGCCTCCAAAATCAAAGGAGGACTCCTAACCACTGCTTATTAAAGGGCCTTCTACCTCATCAAGAAAATTTTCCAATTCATCATGATTTTATCTTTCTTTCCAAATTACTAACTGCTTTTTGTAGATTTTAAATGGAACCAAACCTCAAAGTTCCTTTCTCTAATGCCTTCAATCTGAATGAGTATCCTGTCTGCCTAGACCTGGGTTGAGGATGCCCAGGAAAGGTCTGTGAACTCCAGTTTCAGAATGCTGTCCCAGGCTCTCCTTGTAGAGTAGCCCCATTACCCTTCTAAAAGATGAAAGGCCATGTAGAGAACTAAGGAGGCCCAGACAGGTTCATCTTAAGACAATCAAACTCCAGTAAAATCATGCATGGTGCAGGCAAGCTCAGAGATGAATAGTTCAACTGAGGCCAACTAAGCCCAAGCCAAATTTCTGACCTTAAAATTATGAACAAGAAAAATGGCAGCTGTCTGATGGCATTATGTCAGAAGTTTGCTTTGCAGCAGTAAATGAGATTTGTTTGCTTAGACATGACCCAAACCATCCACATGATACTGCAGCCATATGTGGTACACATGCAGAATTTTCAGGAAAAAGTTGTATCCTATAGAGGATACATAATATTCTCAGTGCAGGGCCAAGGGTGTTCATAATTCCATTTGACCACTCCCACTTAGCATTCTTCTGTTAAGTAGTCTAATGAAGGAGGTAGCCCACAACCAGCCAAATGACATGCCAACAGAGGCCAGCAAAACACTAATGTCACGTAAAGAGAAACAAGTTTTTAATGTGGTTTAACAATTATCTTACCAGCATTTTAAAATTAGGCTCATTGTGCAACCCAACTGGATAAAATAATTCAGTTTTACATATCCTCCAAAAAGGTTCCTTAAATTCTTCTGTTTTAAAAGAAATAGAACTTACACATACCAATTTGTACTGTAGTTACAATTATTAGATAAAGAAAAGACAAAAAAAAAAAAAAAAGGGTCGGGGAGAGCTGGAGAGATGGCTCATAGGTAAAGAGCACTGGCTGTTCTTCCAAAGGTGCACCCTTCTGGAGGGCAGGCACACATACAGGAAAAATACTGCATAGATAGATAGATAGATAGATAGATAGATAGATAGATAGATAGATAGATAGATAGATAGATAGATAGATAGATAGATAGGTCATGTTCTTAGATGAACCTTCAAGTAATAAGAATAAATACGTGAACCAAGTAACTCTCTATGAGTTGGAGGCAAGACTGGTCTACAGAGCAAGTGGCCCAGAACAGCCACAGAGAAACTCTGTCTCAAAAAACCAAAACAAACTAGAAAGAATAAATACACGAGAAAAAATAACATTTACAATGTCCAAACTTCACGCTCACAGTCAATACTTACGTTGACAGCATGTCTAGTGGCAGTGTCAGTAGTGAGCTCACAGAGCCAGTAAACAAGCACTTGTAGATGCGGCCTAAAAACAAGGGAATGATGGCACAGTCACAACTAGCATCACATACTCACAGCTGGCTCAAGAAGGTAGTGGAACTCCACACACACCAATTAAATAAGGGCTTTTAAGCTTTGCAGGGTCTTACTGGGTCTTAGAGTTCCAGGCTTGACACCCAGAGGCTTGTGGAACAAGCGTGTTTACCTGCTGAGTTATCTCAGTGACCTTAAACTACTATTTTTTGTTGTTATTTTCCAAGACAGGGTTTCACTGTGTAGCCTTGGCTGTCCTGGACTTACTTTGTAGACCAGGCTGGTCTCAAAGTCACAGGAATCTGAGTTCAAGGAGAGCCTGGTCTACAATGCCAAGTCCAGGACAGCCAAGGCTACACAGAGAAGCCCTGTCTATAAAAACAAAAACAAAGTTTCAAAAGGTCTCAAACAAAGAATAGCTTATGGCTTTGGAGGGAAAATGCAAGCATAAAAATTCACTGTCATCCCTTACCCTCTTATATGGAAAAGGTAGAATGTTTTTAGTTAGAAAGGCAGAATTCTAGAGAATGAGGTAACCAGACTACAGCTTAAGAAATGGAATAAGAAAAATGTGAGGTGCTCCTTCAGAGCACTTTTGTACATTATTAGTTTAAGCGTCATCCTTGGTCTTAGACATTTTCAGCGAATTCAATAGCTTCTTTTAAAGGTCAAGTCAAAAGGATAGGAAAGAGTGTCCACAATAGAAATCACTTACATAGCTACATAAAAGAAAGCAAACATGCTTATACTAAGTAAAACTAACAAACTAAATATCAGTCAATAGGGAAATGGGTTGAACAGCGGTAGAGCCCCTTAACTAGGAATATACTAGGAAAGACGGATGGGGTACATGGTTAAAAAGAAGAGGCTGTAAGAATATATATTATACAATGCAACTTAAATGTGATGTACATGTGTGTATGAAAAAAGTCAAGACTGAAATCAAGCTTTTTAAAATTAACTCAAGTATCCACTTGTGCTTGATGGTTTCATCTGCTGAGTTTAGAAAGTCATATTGTCTTTGACTATAACTGAATGTATTGTTTTTGTTTTGTTTTTCTTTTTCTTTTCTTATGTTCTATGTAGACCAAGCTGACTTCAAACTTGGGATCGTCCTGCTTCAGACTCCAGAGTGACCGAATTACAACTGTGTACATTTAAAAGTTTAAGGTGTAAACTTCCTCAATACTTACATCTAGGAAAGTGTCTATATTTTGTTCTTCCAACTGAGTCTATTTGGGAGGCTGAGACATTTACATTAAAAAACTTATATTTGGAAGATGTCACTGTCTTGTAGCATTCACCAAGTTGATTTTATATATGGTTTCTCCACTCTGTAGGACAATCTAGGAGCATACTATCACTATGTAGTGATCATTATCAGCATCCTAACCAGGCTCTGGAAAATCTGAAATCATTTAGAATCATGGTCTCCTTCATTATGGTTAATTCCCTAACAGAAATTATCAACTCCTCATCTCCATAACCTTACCTTGTAGAACAACTTGCTAGGTAGTTACTAAAACCACCAGATCTAGCTCCCTTCTCTCCTTGTCTCATAACTGAACTACTTGGTCCCTTGGAATTATACAATAGGAGGATTCACTGTTTCCATCTAGCTCACTAAGTCACTCTCTGTTAGTGCTTATTCCACTACTTTGTGTATGGTCTTTATCTCCAAAGGGAGTCAAGCTACTTTATTAAGAAGACATGAGGATATAAATTACATGTATTTAAAACCCTTTCTTGTCCACAGAGTCCTATCTATATAACTATGCCATTCATGAATTATCTAGACTGATAATTATCAATAATCATAATCCACATCTAAAGAAAACACCCTTCCTTCCTTCATAAATGGCTTAGTGAAGTTTTCTTTCTTTTTTTGTTTTCTCTGTGTATCTCTTGTTGTCCTGGAACTCACTCTGTAGAACAGACTGGCCTTGAATTCAAGAGATCCACCTGCCTGTCTCCCAAGTGCTGGGATCAAAGGTATGCGCCACCACCGCCCAGCTTATGAAGATGTTTTCTAAACAAGGCTTTCCTAATAAATAATACTATAAATCAAATAATTAAACATCATTCACAGTAGTGGGCAACACAATTAAAATAGTAAACAGTTAATAACTCCTAAAGAGGTATGAATACTCACATGCTGTAAGTGGAACAACTCCCAACCATGCAAAGGCAACAAGTGTGTAATGAAACCAGTATCGTATTGCAGTGCCAATACTTGTAACCAGTCCAGCAAATATGTCTTGGATTGGTAGCCGTGAAGGCATATCTGGAGAATAAACTATAAGAGGAAAAAAAAAATACTCAGGATTTCATGAGGACTTTTAAATGACTAAATTCATAAATTCAAAGTAGAGACATTGTGCTTACGTATTTTTCTATAAACTGACTTTTAAATTACAATATTACATTTATACAAGTCATTTATCCAAACCACAACTAAAATGTGAAAATGAACAACAACAACAAAAATGTCCACTGAGCAGAGATAAGGCATCAATAGGAAAAAAAAAAAAAAAAAATCTACCTTCCAAGCTCACTGTCTTGAATCTCAAGCAGTGTTAGTTTACACATATATAACAGGCAAGCCATACAATGATCTGGCTTCTCAAAGTATAAAGGATCAAGTAAAGGAAACAAGAGAAAAAAATCTGAAGGTATGTTATCAGAGAATTTCCCAAATGCAAATATTACACGCAACATCCCAATGACCTGTGATAATCATTTCATGTAGAACAAACAGCTCACTTAGCCAACCCTCCCATCCAATTCTAATATCTCACTTTAATTTTCAAATGACAGGTTCAGATATCTTTGCAAAGTGTAATTTAGCTACGGTTCAAGAATATTCCCACATTTAAAAAATATTTTAAGCATTCTTCCAGTAAAAACTGCTATTTATTAAAAAGCTCTGCTCCAGATAATACACACTTCTTTCAAACACCTCTTTCTCCAAAGAGGCCAACACAAAGAAATGTTATATAAAATCAATGATCTAAAATTATATACACAGCTAGGGGAAGGAAAAAAAATAAGTAAAACTAGACTAAACCTAAAGACAATGTTGGGGTGTAAATCAGATACAGAGTGCTTGCTTAGCACAGATAACATACTAGGTTTAATCCTGAGCAGCCAAAAAAGAATAAATAAAAATAAAATATTTGAGAGTAGCACCATAAAACTATTCATCTACAAACTTAAGGAATAAGCAATAACAAAGGGCAAATCTATACATGCTACAGATCACCCAGCTAACAGGACACCACTTGATGTGATAGACAGTAGAGCTTCTTGAGAAAGATCTACAAGAAACACTGCATGAATGTCAGGAGAAAAGTAAGCCTACAAAGTGAGTTTGTACTGGCCTCAAAGTAAAAGTCCACAGGACATCAGTTTGCTACAAATTTCCACAAGTAGTAATGAGCTCATGCACTAGAGAAAATTAAAGACTATGAAAGATTGTAAGTGGCATTTTTGCTGGCAATGAATAAATAAAATGCAATAACTTTAATCAGCCATGCTTGTCAGATATCAAGTAAAACGAATGATAAGTTATAGTATCTGTACTGAGCAGCAAAAGTCTTAAAATAAAAAGTAAAATAGAAAAAAAAAACAAAAAACAAGTGCAATGTACTGGGGTCCCAGCATGAAAACCTGGGCTTCAAGCTGAAGAGATGGCTCAGTGGTTAAGAGCACTGTCTGCTCTTCTAAAGGTCCTGAGTTTGATTCCCAGCAACCACATGGTGGCTCCTCATCATCTATACTGAGACCTGATGCTGTCTTCTGGCACTCATATATGCAAAAATAAATAAATATATGATAAAAAAATAAAGAAAAACTGTGCTTCAAGTTAACCAGTACAGTCCTGTTTATACAATATGAAAGTATTAATCAATAGGCACAAACATTGTAATTAAAATTTTAGACATCTGAAAAATATCTCCTGAAGCCTTACAAAACATGAGCTTATAGGTTTGTTTACTGGGGCTGGGAAAATAGCATGCAAGCATGAAGACCAGACTTAGGATCCCTGCTGGGCAGGCATGAGAGCCATGGCCTGCCTGTAATTCCAGTGCTCAAAAGGTAGGCAGATCTCAGGGCAATCTGGCTGGCTAGACTTGTTGAGGTGAGGAGTTGTGAATTCAAATGAGATTCAACAATATATAAGATAAAAGAACACAAAACAACACAGAACAAGAAACAAAGACACTGCAGCAGGGCCTGGTATTGCACACCTTTAATCCCAGTACTCAAGAGGCAGAAGCAGGTGGATATCAGCCCAGCCTGTTCTACACAGTGAGTTCCAGGACAGCTATGGCTGTTACACAGAGAAACCCTGTCTCAAAAAAGAAGAGAGGACACCCTATATCTACCTCTGGCACACACAATAACACACATGTGTGCACACACATACATGTATGTGTGCAACATACTCTCCCCTACACACTCATGTGTACCCATACAGTAAAAAACCACAAGCACATACATTTTTAAAAGTTGGTTTCAAAAAGGAAAAAAAATGTGCTCTAAGACTTACTCTTTACTACAATTATTTTAATCTCACAGCTTTAACTCAGAAGGTAGTTCAAACTGAATAGTGTTAGATTCTGATGCAATCAAGACATTGTTTTTGCAGAAAGATATTGATTCTTAAAAGGAAAATATTAGTGACACATACTGAAAATGTATAGATAAAATTAGATTTATTTTGTAAAAAATGAGAGCACAGATACAATGAGATAGGTGAGGAGTTGAAAAACAGGTGCAACTAAGTGGTGGGTTTTCACAAGCACTGCCTACACATCTGTGACTACACAAAACACAAAGAAAAAAGAAAACAGCCTACAAATCTTCATGGGTGTATTAAAGTAAAAGATGACAAGTTTTGAAATATCCTTCTAAGTGGAAAGGTTTTTTTTCTGTTACTGTCAAAGACAATGGAGTTGAGAATTATTGCTTTCAAACTCTTTAAACATGTTTTCTTGCCAGAAATAACAAAAAGGAAACTGTAGTGAAAATGCCAAAGAAACTTACTTGGTGTGAAAGCAAATCTGTGCTTGCATAATTCACAGTATTCTTTCCGACTGTGTTTCAACCACTGAACTAAGCTGTAATTACAAATATATTCATGAATACAGTGTTTAAAACAAAGCAACATCGGGGTTTCACTAAAAAGTCATGTTTTTATTAAAGTTTTTTGTACTACAGAACTTTTTAGTTTTCAACATTTCAAATATGGAATAGCCGGGCATAGTGGCACACACCTAACTCTTAGTGTCTCCAGCACTCAGGAGGCAGAGGCAGGAGGATCTCTGCCTTGAACTGTTAGTTCAAGGCCAGCCTGGTCTCAAAGTGAGTCCAGGAGAGCCAAGGCTACACACAGACACACACCCACAAAACAAACCCTGTCTAGAAAAACAACAAATTAAAAACAGCTAAATATAAAAAGTGTGCATTATATTAATAAAACAATTTAATTAACCTAAATTCCAATCTCTTCAGAGCTACATGAATACTGAATAATGCTAAATAATCCAGAGGTCAGCATCAATTTTGCTGCTGGCCTCAGTGCTAGTAGCTGGTAATCAGGTCTGAATTCCCATTCTTTCCCTGACAATCTATGGGTCTTAGGACAAGTCATTCAACTTGTCTATCCTCCATTTCTTTATCCACATAATAATGCTGCAAATTTTTCTTATAAAGAGTAAGTGAGTTAAGATGTGTAAAGCACAGCAGACAGTTCTTGGCATAGAGTACTTAATAATTATAAGCTATAATTATGCCACTCAAAATCATATTATTCCCATGAACAAAACAAGTTTTCCATGCTAGAAAAAACCAATAGGCTATCATTAGCATATCCACAATATATCAAAATAACATGCCTGGTATTAACTATAAATAATTTTTTTTCAAAGTTTACACTTTTATAAAAAAAAGTTTTAAAAATAATGAATTATGGGGCAAGCCCAATGAAATGGTCATTCTTATTACAGAGATGACAAAACAGAACTGAAGAATTATACAATTTTCCAAATGACTTACCATTCTTGATGAATAAACTTAATACTGCCAGTACATACACAAGGATGATAAAGAGGTTTTTCGGGAGTTCCTTCTGACCGACACACTCTACATATGTCTGATAACAAAGGAGAGAGAAAGATGGGATTACCTTTGGTTATGACTTTTAAACAAAATGACCAACAAGACTATTTTGTTCTAAAGGTAAATCTACCACATTAATCAATAAATGGAGACATAAAAACTTTGATGAAACTTGTATTCAAGGGTATCTGAATCTAAGTACATTCCTTCAAAATAAGATTTTGAAGATAAGCTGTTCATCTTAAGAAAGTTCTGTAAATTAAAAACAAAAACAGTTTAATTTGTCTACACTTGCATTTTCCTATAACAAACAATCAAGTAGAACCAGTCACCTAGCCACATATATTAGTGTCCCAGCAGCGTAACTTTAAAGAGTCTAAATCCAGTCCTAAGGATTTAAGCACCACAAAAACATCTGAGAGGAAGGAAAAATAAGAATAAAATATGACACACATGAAAATGCCAGAATAAAGCTCACTGCTTTATATGCAAACCTAAAAATTATTTTTAAGATAAAATTATTTTTACATGTTTCAGAGAGCCAGAGTTGGCTCAGTAGTTAAGGTACTGGTTGACATTGTAGAAGACTTGGGTTTAACTCCAGCACCCACTTCGTGGCTCACAACTGCCTGTCACTCCAGTCCCAGGGGCAGACACCCTCCTCTGCCCTCCACAGGCACTGCAGATGCATGGTACATGCAGGTGAAATGTCCATACACATAAAAAAAGGAAATGTAACTTTAAAATAATACGCTTCAAAATCATGTCTGAGGACTTAAGATAGTAACTGGTGTACATGCACACATGCTTAGGATTAGAGGAAGGCACCTCAGGACTTTTCAGACTCCTACCAGAGAAAGGAGAACGGAGGCTTTTTAAAGCAGAAGTTACAGCAGCCCATGGCTAAAGAGTCAGCAACTATGGAGAGCACTCCCTGCACTAGCACCAAAGGGCCTTCCCTAGGCACACACATCTTCTGTCCTCCCATCTTCTGTAGCCAGGCAAGGGGCAAGGAGGAAAATCTCAAGAGATCATTTATGCTCTCTTCTTGCCCATTTCTCCTAAAAGCTCATCTGGAGTGCCATATACTGAAATTTGACTATTGCTACTACTTAAGACTGTCTTCTCAGCCATCCCTCACAGCCAAGTGCCAATTAATCCGAAGGGCAACTGTTATTGTGCAAAAGAGACAAAAACATAATGTTTGCTTCTGACTTCCTCTCTTACAGGGAATTCCTCACTCAATGGAGAACAGTGGCAACCCTGATTCCTACTTCACTAATAAAATTAGAGGGCCCATGGTGTCATTGGGATTAGAAGAGATACAAACTGAGCACTATGGTGCCAATGTCCTACACATCACCACCATGCTGAGTACCAACACAGGCATTTATTACTCTAGATTAACCACCAGGACAAGAGGGTGTTAGTTAATACAAATGGATCAGCACCAGATATGGGATCTTATGTCAACATCCCTCCTTTGAGAATGCTCCACAAGAATATGATACTAAGAAAGCAGTAACATAGCCAGGCTCACATTAATGGGGGTTGCCACATTACCCGCCCTCCAGGGAGAGAAATGGTAATTGGTCAATTCCTAACTTGGATTAGGAAAGAGCAAAAATGGAACTTACTGGTACACTGTGGCCAGCAGGAGGCAAGGACAAGAATAAGTGATAAAATTCATGGACATAGCTGATTGATCCAGGCAACTCAGCTCTGTGTGAGCTGAGAAAGTTGTGCTGGGACCAAGGTAATGGCAAACTCCAGGAGTGCTCCTGTGTGTAGGAGGAGCCTGTGGACAAGGAGAACTCAGGTAGGGAGATCTCCTTAGGGGGCCCAATACACACCTGGAGAGGACACTGAGTTTTCAGAAGGTATCCATTCTTCTCATAGACAAACCACAATGTCATGCACAGATAAAACTTAAACTCAAGCCCCCAGCTGTGTTTAACATTAATGTGTAGCAGAGAAACTGGATCTTTGGAGTTGTATAGAGGCCCCTCCCTATTCTGAGACTGAATGGTCAGACTACCTCCTAACAATCCTGAGTAGTCTCTCTTTTACTCGCTGCGGAGCCAGTTTACAGAGGGTTTCTCTTTCTTTTTTTTCCTTCCTTTTTTTTTTTTTTTCTTTTCTTACTCTGTAGCCCAGGTTAACCTTAAACTCAGTTCTCTCCTATAACAGTCTCCAAATGCTTGGATTATAGACATATATCATCATGTCAACCCTACAGTGGTGTTCATATAGGGAACATGATACAATTTATTGCATGCTGTTGCAGAATAAAAAAAAAATCCAGCTGTTGTTCTATTAAACTAGACATTAAAAACAATTGTAAATATAAGCCAGGAATGGTGGTACATGCCTTTAATCCCAGCACTTGGGAGGCAGAGGCAGGTGGATCTCTGTATTTAAGAGCACACAGCGACAGTCAGGGTTACATAGAATTTTTTGTCACAAAAACAAAAATCATATCCACTCTTCTCTCCAATTTGGGGGATTTGGAAGCTATAGTTCACCATAACAAATAAGCTATTTAAGTAACACTTAAAACAGTTCCATTTTATTTTCTAATGTAACATAGTTCTTCTGAGTCTTTAAGAGTGTAAACATATATTAAAACCTCAAAAGTCTGAGAGCCAGGACCAAGGAGACAGCTTAGGAGATAAAAAGCAGGACTCCCATCATAAGTGTAAACCTGGAACTCATGTCAAAAGCTACATGCAGTGGCCTGCTTCTGCAATTCCTGCACCTGTGTAGCAGTAGACAGGAGAGCCACCTGGAAGCTCAAGACTAATAGCAGAAACAACAGAAACCCAGTTTCAACAAGGCTGAAGGAAGGCAAAATCAACAATGAGCTCCTGAAAGTTACCCTCTGACCTCCACATGCACTGCAGCACTGTGAGTGCTTTTTTTTTTTAAAGTTTGAGAGCCACTGCTCATTAGCAGCTGTTCTGATACATTTTTGGCTCCTTGGAGGCAGCAGCATGTGATAGTGTGTGTGTGATAATGGTAATGAATCTTTCCAAACACACATACATAAAGTTGTCATTCAGGGCGTCCTACATTTAGACTAAACTCTAGGAAAAAAGGAAGGTAGTTGAGCTGTGCAGAGGATCTCTGTGAGTTCAAGGGCAGCCTGGTCTACAAAGTGATTCCAGAAAAGCTAAGTTAGTTACACAGAGAAAGCCTGTCTTAAAAAAAAAAAAAAAAAAAGTAATTGTAGACTGTTCATCCATTTTGTTTCAGAACAATGGAAATCATCTTTGCAATTATAAAACAAAATTGTATCGAAATGAGAAATAAGCAACTATTAAATGAAAACACAAACAAATCATAAACCCGGGCATATATATATATCGTGACTAACCATAAAAAAGAAACTAATACACTTTAAGACAGCAATATGGAGGTGGTGAGATGGCTCAGTAAGTTAAAGTACTTGCTGTAAGTCTGATGGCTCAAGTTCTATTCCTGGCACCCTATGTGAAGGTGAAAGAAGAAAACAGACTCTACAAAGTTGTCCTTTGACCTCCACGTTCACTGTGTGGCACACTCATACCCACAGATGCACACACAACAATAAACAGAAATACGCTTAAAAAAAGAAAAACCAGCAAGGGCTGGAGAGAGAGCTCAGAGGGTAATAGCATTTGCTACTCTTGCAAAGGACCAGGATTTGGTTCCCAGTACTCACATCAGACAGCTCACAACTCTAACTCCAGTTCCAGGGCATCTGACACTTCTGTCAGCACTGGAACATACCAGTGCACATCTATTCACAGGTACACACACACATGCACACAAAATAAAAAATTATTAATAAAAAAGTAAAACCAGCAATATACTCATGCATTCCTAACAGACTATATTCTAAGATAGAGGAAATGCAAAGAAATCCTAAGCATAATTATTAAATGTTAATAAAAACAATAAAAAACAGAATTAATAGAAACTTTTGTGATTATTTAAAAATTTATAGGACAGAGGCAACAAGAGAGCTCTAGTATTTGGCTAAACTTAATGCACACACAAAAATGGGAAAATTCACATCAATAACTCTCTTATCCCACTCGCCATTTTTTTTTTTTAGCATGATGAACACTGCATTGGCAATAGCACCATCAGAAGAAAAAAGAGAGAGAGAAAACATAAATAGTATTTGCCTCATTCCCAAAAGTTAATAATCTAATTCAATATCAACCACTGTACAAGCTAAAACAAATACCACATGAAAAGAATGTGATCCTAGCCCTCCCTCTGCCAATGAAAGACCAAGACATCAACCACCTAACATAATAAGAATACAACCCACCAAGATGATTTAAAAAGGGGAGGAGGGGCCTAACTGTGACTACAACTTCTACAAATCAGATGCTACTTTTCTCACTCTGTGGGTTATCAGGAAAGGCCTGTTGGATCCGGAAATCCTAAAGTGTAATAACAAAGCGCTCACTAGTCACATCAAAGGGTGTCAGGCAGAAGTGACTTTCACTTCCAGCTGGCAGCAATGAGGCGGTGCCTCCTCTACCTGCATATCATAAAAAACAAAACCCCAAACTTTTTAGTAAGAATCAGAGGCCTCACACAGCAAAAATATCCATAATGCAACTGAAAAAAGTCACTCATACCAAGCACAAGGAAAACCCCAGCCTAAATGAAAAACTACAACCAATAGATGTTAACATTGCAGCTATCATAAAATTGATTCCGTGAGCAAACATATTTGAAAGATATAGTATTTGTGTGTGGAACAGCAAGTTTTCACAGAAACAAAGAAGATAAAGAACCCAGTGTAAATTTTAAAATAAAATAAAATAAACAACAAAAAACATTTACTGAAAAAAAAAAGGGAATTTAAGATTTGACAATAGGAACTTCTCAATCTCAACAGAAAATACTTGTGAAAATCCTTATAGACCTCAGAGACTGTAACAAAGTATGTAACCCTCTTGACAACAGCTTTAAGGAAGTGGAGTAAACTAAGTCCACAAATAAAACTCTCTCCTTATCCACAGGAAACAAATA